CTATGGTTTGAGTTAAATGCCTGTTGCTACATCTTCCTTCTCAGCAACATAACAAGTGAAGGATTTTGTTACTTAGGCAGGCATAAAGCAGACTGTCCTCAGCACAGACTTTTATTTGCTGAAAGGCAGCATTTTGCTTTTGTGTCCACTAGAAGGGCTCTCTTTCGCCCCCCTTTGTAACTTGACACAAGAATTTGCCAATTACTTCATAGAGATCCAAATTTTACAGAATCTTGTTGCACCTATGYACTTGCATTGGACTTGCTTCCTTGTATTGGGGACTAAGATCTGGCAGATGGCTTGCTTTCAGTCCTATGGCCATCTTTTATATGGAATCCTAAGTATTTGACTTCAGTTTTTGCACGGCTGGGTCTAGGAATTGGAGTGTTTCCTTCAGACTGACTGACAGGCTCCTGGAATCGGCTGTACTATTTCCGGAGATATGCATTTGGCTATTCCGGGGGGCTTGTTTTCTGCCCATACCTCAGGAGTTTCAAACTTTTCTCCTATTCATTTTTCTCTGAGCCTTTTTAAACTACTAGCAGCCTCCACCATGGGACAGGTGAGGTGCAAAAGGCTTGTTATTTTCTAAAGCCATCTTAGCAAATTCATTTTCTTCAAAGAATAATATTAGACTTTGTTTGCATGGCAAGTCACTTCCCAGCAATTGAACTGGGCAGTTAGGCATATATAGAAAACTGATGGTAACTTCTTTTGTTGCTAGCTGACGTTTTATTCCTCTTTCTTTCTTTCTTTCTTTCTTTCTTTCTTTCTTTCTTTTCTTTCTTTGGAAAGGAGGTAGGCATTGATCTTCAATGGCTCCCATGAGCTTTATGGCTTTCTGGGTTACGGTGCCACTGGTATCACTGATTTCTTCTGCTCTTATGTCTACCAAAAATGTTTTCTGGGATCCTACTATTTCCTTGAATAGGGATCCTAAGGTTAGAACTCTTGACTGACTTGAGTCTTCTGCCTTCTTCATTGGGGGCATTTGGCCAATCCAATGATTTTTTTTTCCTAAGCTGCTTCTGTGACTCTTGATAGAAGGGCAGCTCTCTGGGTCTTCCTATCTGCCCCTGGTAGCCTTTTTCTCTTCCACTCATCATCTGGGAAGTTTCTCATTCAATGTCCATGATTCTTACAGTTCAGACATTGATTCGGCTCAAGAAGCTGTCCTCTTTTCTGGCTCATACTTCACCCTCTGCTTCGCCCTCTTTTCCATTGCCTTAATGCCGCTGATAAGCAAATGGCTTGAGCCTTCATTTGTCACTGCTTATCTTCTCCTTTTGATCTCTATTCACAACCACTCAGCTAGCTACGTCTGTTAGAAATGAGTGGCTGTGAAATCAGGCGGCATAGAATCTGGTTCATCTATCTCATCTGATGGGGAAAGATTCAGGTATCTTCTATGTAGGGACACTGTGGTGTTGGAGGGCTATACTGGCTTCTTGCTGCTTCTGGCTGGATTTGCAGGACTTCTGTGGATCTCCCATCATCTCAGTAGAGTAGGGAGGTTAGGCATTTCTTAACCAAAAGAGTGGGACAGGATAGGAGATTTGATCTCATTTATTCCTGCCCAAAATCTAGTTTTGCAAAACTTTTCTCAAAATCTGCTAACATGTACCCTAGCAGGGCTTTAAGCTTGCTTCTGAATGACCATCACATGTTTTAGACAAACAGACAACTAATACACAAAGGAGGGAAAAGGTATGTGGGACCTAACCACACAGCATCTGAACTCTTTCATACAACATACAACATTGATTCAGTCATACAGACAATCAATCATACAACAATGTACCTAGGCTTTTCCCAACCTTTTCCTTTCTCTCTCTCTCTCTCTCTAGGCAGTCGGTTTCCCTTTCTGGCACACCCAAAAATCCCAAAAAGTCTACTCGGGACTGCCTTTTTTCCAGGTTAATTACTCCTGGGTTGGTCACTAGCAAACACAGCTATGACCTGTCCTGACGTCTGCACTCTTCTAAATGTTCTTTTTTCACATTCATACTTGCCTGTCCATCGTTTTCAGCCTCCTCTGGTGAAAGGAAAAAACCCCATCAGGAGCAGCCGCCCTGCTCCAAGCTTCAAGTGATCCCTGGCATCAAACAGAGACACCCCAGCTGGTAGGGTTCAGTCGTTGGTTGGATGCCGGCTTGGCTGACTCCTGAAGGCGTTCCCGATCTCAAAATCTCTCTCTTGGCTTCTCTCTCCCTTGACCTCCTTCAAATCTCTTGCCTGCATCTCTCCTGGCTGGCTCGCCAAAATGAAATGGCACGGAAATAGGTTGTGAGGAAAGGAGAGATAATTACCAAGAGACATCCTTTCTGGAGATCAGAAAAGAACGACTTTATTTCCAGCTGGCGACTCTGGTGGACTCATGTCCCAAAAGCAAAACCCAGAGCCCCCATCAAGGTGCGGACTGGCCTTTTATAGTCTCCAATCGGAATGAAACAAAGAACATACGTCTTCATACAATCATCATCATCCCTACATCATCCTGGCATCATAAGAATATCAGGTTCCCCCTCCAACATGCAAAAAGCATGTCTCTGTGTCTTGCTGAAACCAGAGCAAGCATGGAGTATCCCTCCTCCCTCTTGCTTACGAGTCATCCATCAAAGGGGCCCTCTGACCTGTCAGAGGTGCTTCTTCGTCCTAGCACGGGCTTCTCCAACGGGCTTATCTCTCTTCTGGAATGCATGCCCCCCTTCCTCTTCAGCCCCTTTTGGAGACAAGCCGCTTGCTTGCCTGTCAGCTACACAGAGGGAACTAGATTTTCCTATACATTTAAAGTACATATGATTTTTATGCATAAATCAATCAATAAATATCTATATTTTCCCAATATCTCCTCATCAATATAATCCAGATTATCAAATCAGATAATCCAGATTATATGGGTCTACTTTACCAGTTCAAAGCAGATAATCTAGATTTTGTATGGCAGTGTAGAAGGGGCCACAATGGAGAAGGCGTGTCTTCATCAGCTATCTCTTTACCCTTAGAAGGTTAGAGCACCTTAATGAAGACCACATCCTGAAATAATAACACAGAGACATGACACTGTATCCATGAGGGATATATTGCTGAACATACAGTGGAAACAGGAAACTGTCGATAATAACAAATCCTGTTGAAATAAATTATTTCCTTAGAAGGCTAAAACAACATTACTCTGGTGGATTCCTTTCTAGGAATTTGCTAGGTTCTCAGCAAAAGTATACAATAGAACCACCTGGAGCCCTCGGTGGCACAATGGGTTAAATCCTTGTGCCGTTAGGACCGAAGACCGACAGGTTAAAGGTTCAAATCTGGGGAGAGTGCGGATGAACTCCCTATGTCAGCTCCAGCTCCCTATGCGGGGACATGAGAGAAGCCTCCACAAGGATGGTAAAACATCAAACATCCAGGTGTCCCCTGAGCGATGTCCTTGCCAAGAGCCACTTCTCTCACACCAGAAGTGACTTGCAGTTTCTCAAGTCACTCCTGAAAAAAGAAAAAAATACCTGGAGGACCTATTATTATTATTAACTTTATACCCCACCTTTCTCCCCGTGGGAGGATCCTGACAATCCCACACTTCAGTCATGTTTTAAAAGCACAATACAAAAGTTTAAAAACTATTAAATTGTACAGTGAGTGAATATATTTTGTCAGGTACAGGTAGGTGAAACTGCTGGAAATTTCTGTTCACTAAAAAAAAAAAGGAACTAGAAACAGGTTTCTCTAAAACTTTTTAAACAGAGGGCCAGGTCACAGTCCCTCAAACTGTTGGAGGGCCGGATTACAATGTGAAAAAAAAAACATGAATAAATTCCTATGCACACTGCACATATCTTATGAGTAGTGCAAAAAATACTTAAAAACAATACAATAAGTGAAATGAAGAACAATTTTAACAAATATAAACTTACTAGGATTTCAATGGGAAGTGTGGGCCTCCTTTTGGCTGATGAGACAGGATTGTTGTTGTTGTTGTGTGCTTTCAAGTAGTTTCAGACTTAGGCTGACCCTGAGCAAGGACTGGGTAAATGACCTTGGAGGGCCATATCCGGCCCCCGGGACTTAGTTTGAGGACCCCTAGTCTAAAGCTTGCAGAGTATTATGATTTCAGCAGAAAACTTTATTTTTAATTTATTGTGTCAGGAGCAAATTGAGAATACAGTTATAATGTATAGAAAAACCACAAACAAAGTTAAAAACTTGGCATTGTATTAAATTTTCTTTGACCAGAAGCTAGCCACTTGAAGTGCCTCTAGTGTTGCTGTGAGAAGCTCCTCCATTGTGCATATGGCAAGGCTCAGGCTGCATTGTGGCAAGGGGTCTGTGGTTTGCTTTTCTCCACACTTGCATGTCATGGACCCCACTTTGTAGCCCCATTTCTTAAGATTGGCTCTGCATCTCGAAGTGACAGAACACAGTCAGTTCAGCGCCTTCCACGTCGCCCAGTCTTCTGTGTGCCCAGGGAGGACTTGCAGCAGAAAACGAATGTCTTATTTTACCTCTCAAGTTTGTGAGAAATGAAAGGAAATCTGTGGTTGGAAAGGATTCCCCCTATTCCTGGCCATACGGAAATTACCTTCCAAATAATCAAGGGACATTAAGATTTCTGTGCTGGTCTCCTTCACATTACTCTTTAAACAAAATTGTAGGGATAGCCTTCGCATACTGTGGTGATATGCCCTAAATCTTTAACATCTTCCATACTACGATGTCAATCTTACTGGCTGAACACCTACTGATTTGGGAAAAAATTCAGCAAAAGGCAGTAGGCTTCATGTGAAAAAAAATACATCAAACAAGCCAACATCCATAGAAAGTACATTTTCTACTGAAAAGAAACGTAAGACACTAATTTGTTAAGAATTTTGTTAACTTTTTGAAAAGTGAATACATTACAGGAAATGGATCGACACAATTGAATTAGAATTGATCAAATTTTTTAAAAGCTAAAAAGTATAAAGAGCAAAACAACATTCATGTTCTCATCATTTTTACAGGTGTTCCTCCTTCAAACGATATACCTGCTGGTAATTATCCATTCATTGTGAAATCAGATGATGGCCGTGATGTGCCTGTTGTTCAAGCTTATGCTTTTGGAAAATATCTTGGCTACTTGAATGTCACCTTTGATGACAATGGAAATGTAATTAAAGCATCTGGAAACCCTATCCTACTAGACAGCAGTATCCCTGAAGGTATGGATGGCTGTGTGAAATCTGACATATTTGTCTGCAGTCTCCCTCTGATCATAAATATTAACTCTTACTTTTAAAAATTCTTATCAAAATGCCACTAATCTTATAAAACAATTGCTCTTCATCCTTTATACCAAATAAATTATGTGCTGTGATCATGAAACCATTTTCAGTGGCTAATACAGAAATTTTAAAATAGACTTTGGCTGAATTAAGAATGCATAATTTCATATATATATTTTTGTATTCTTTATGGAAGCATATCCTGTTTTCCTGAAAATAAGACCTAACTGGAAAATATGGCCTAGCATGATTTTTCAGGATGCTCATAATATAAGCTCTACCTGAAAAATAAGCTCCAGTTCAAATCATCAATCAGATGGACACATTTAGCAAAAGTACATCTACAACGGACGTATTGAATTTTAAAATATTTTTGTATATAATTAAATATAAATAAATAATAAAAAAAATGTGTCAGAAGTGACTTGAGAAACTGCAAGTTGCTTCTGTTGTGAGAAAATTGGCTGTCTGCAGGGACGTTGCCCAGGGGACGCCTGGATGTTTTACCATCCTGTGGAAGGCTTTTCTCATGTCCCCGCATAGGAAGCTGGAGCTGACAGATGGGAGCTCACCCCGTCTTGCGGATTAGGTCAGCAGTTCAGCCGGCACAAGGGGTTAACCCATTGCACCACCGTGGCTCATAATAATGTCAATAATAATATTGAAATTAATACTTAAAACAAATGATAATATAAATTATAATTAAATATTTTAAATACACAAGTGGGTGCCTTTGGACAAGAAGAAGTAAATGTCTATGTAAACAGAGGAACTCAAGACTTATTGTTGAATGACGAATCAGAGTACTGCCACAATGAACAAATGATGTGAACACTTGATACATAAAAAAAAGACACCCAGTGAAAACAAGCATGAGACCTAATCTTATTTTCACAGAAATACGGTAGTGTTTTCATACACTGGTCATATTCCAAAAAGATGTTCTAGTTAGGTATGAGGAAATTGTGGCTACCTAGATGACATTGGACTTTCCCATAAACATCATGATGCATGGCTGAAATTATATGGGCTAGAATCCAAGTTCTGGAAAGTTGCGGTTTCTCCACCTTTTCTCTGTTTGCACTCAAAGGTCATCATTTGGATGATGACTGTTCTTCTAACTTTTAATAAATGCTGTCACTACTAGATTTATGGTTTCTGTTATTCTGCCAAAGTATACATGTGATTTCTAAAAGCAGTTTACTGCATAACGTGAGATGTGACAATCCTAATCCATTTTGACCGTAAGGAATTGGTTGCGTGACTCTTTAAATCCAAAGCATTGTTAAATGGAGGTCCACCACCCATTTATTCTTTTGGTTTGTTCTGAAAAATGACTATTGGTGGAGTAACCTTCAATGGAAATAACCTCAAACCTATTGTAGCATTGTGCTGTAGACAAACAGACTTGTTATTCTCATGAGTTATATGTATAATCAGTAAAGGCATTTACCAGACTGTATTTCTAATTTAGATCCAATTGTGAAAGCAGAAGTTGACAAGATGAAAGTTGAGCTAAGAAACTTTTCTTCCAAAGAAATAGGGAAGACTATCGTTTATCTAAACGGTACCAGTCAAGCATGCCGTTTTGAGGAATGCAACATGGGAAACTTGATTTGTGATGCTGTGGTAAGAAAGTCATTGCTTAATTTACAAATGGTCATGTAAGTATTTGATGGCTTTGGCAGATAGGCTAAAGAATCATGTCTACTCATTGGGATGCTGAATTCGGTTTGGGTGAAGGTCATTCAAAATCTTGAGGTACCTGTAGTCGTTCTCAGTGAGAAAAGCAAGATATTGTAGAGGTGTTGATATTTGTAACATCACTTTTTATATATATGGGGGAGGGGGAAGGTTTTTTTCCCATCTTTCGGCATCTTGGAGGCTGTGCTCAGTTCCGGCCACGGGGAGTGCTGTTGCTCCACCTCCTTGCCAAAGAGCTTTCTTTGTTTGTAAACTTTACTCCATTTTCTGATTGAAATTTGGTTCCTATTTATCTACTCACATTAGTTTTTGATCTCCTAGGTGGGCGGGGAACTAGGCTGAAGGTCAGGAGCTCTCCCTGACCCAGCTTCGAACTGTCAACCTTTCGGTTGGCAAGATGTACTGCAGCTGCAGCTGGTGATTAACTTGCTGTGCTAAAGCCAGCCCTAAAGTTTACATCAAAGAATGCACCTGCACTGTATTTTTTATTTATTTATGTCACTTTTATCCCGCCTTTTCAGCCCGACTCAGAGCGGCGTACAGACTGCCAACAATTTGATGCCACAACATACATACATATATCAGTTAAAAACAATTAAGTCACATCATAAAATCCACATAAAAACTGTAGAATTATTGCAGTTCGATGCCACTTTAAGTGCCATGGCTCAATGCTGTGCAGTCCTAGGCACCAGCACTCTTTTGCAGAGAAAGCTAAAGAGCTTGTAAAAATACTCCAATGGTTCAATAACATTGGGCCATGGCAGTTAAAGTGGTATCAAACTGCATTAATTCTAGTGCACAGGTACCCAAAGAGAAGTAGAGGAGTCTAGCATTCAAACTAGTCCTAAGGGCTTGATCCAAGGCTACTTAGTAGATGTGGACTTGGTGTCAGGATTTTACAGACAACTGTATACTTCTAAAGTCTCTGTGGATATCAAAACTTTTGACCAAGACTGTAGATTACTGTGTCAGGTATAGTCCAGAATAGTGCTAGTCCCAAACCCTTTGAGCAACAGCGCCTATGAGAAGGCAGGAAAGTTAACCTAACTTTTTCCCTTTAACATTGCTTCCAGGAAGTTTTATTTTGGGCCTATCGTATGTGCAAATAAAATGGTTTTATAAATGAGATTTAGATATAGAATTGACACCCCACAGTTTTTTTCTTCAAAAAACCTGACCTATATTTCAAACCTAAACCTCATTAATCCAAAAGGTTTCTGAGTAGAAATATCATGCAGTTTCAATGTCATTATTTTGTGTGTTAAGGCTGATATAAAGTTCATGATCATCATACGGAACCTTTTTCAAATTGTTACAAAAGGAGGCTTTCAGTTAAGCTTCAGACAAATGGGAGATAAAAGAGGAGTTTCCTGTAAAGTGGAGTACATGGAGGAAAAACACACATGAAAATGTCCTTTCTCTGACATCTTTGGGGCATTAGAATGTAATGTTTAAGGCTATACAATTTCTCTTTTTGGTTTAGTATCTTCTCAAAACGAAACCCAGCTCACTGAAAGGGAATTACGTCTTAGCCCTCACTGTTGCCAGAATTTAAGGTTTGCACAATTAAAGTTAATTAGGCAGTCCAGGCAGTGCCATCCTGTCCTGGAAACCTGTCTCTGGCAGAAATCATTCTCCAGAAGAAGTTACTTGACTTGGCACAAGTCCCTTTGACTAGGCTGGCACTGGATTGTCTCAACTTCCACTAAGTCATAGAGGAGCCCAACCCATTCTAAAGTTAATTAGCAATGATTTTAAACTTTGGCCATACTTTGCTAGAGCAAACCCAGTGATTTACTGTCCCTGTCTCAAATTTCAAGACAATATACTCACATGCACATAATGTACTCACATTTTTTTTCCTGTACAATTCTAATTTTTTGAGTGTGTCAGAAGTGACTTAAGAAACTGCAAGTCTCTTCTGGTGTAAGAGAATTAGCCATCTGCAGGGATGTTGCCCAGGGGACACCCAGATGTTTTACATCCTGTGGGAGGCTTCTCTCATGTTCTGGAAGCTGGAGCTGACAGATGGGAGCTCACCCTGTCTCACTGACCTTCAGGTCAGCTGTTTAGCCAGCACAAGGGTTTAACCCATTGAGCCACTGCCCTCCACAATACTATTTACACATCCTTAACTCCCTTTTTAATGAAAGCTAAAAGTTATTCTGTAAAGCTTATAGAGTGATCCTTAGTACATTTCATTTTGTTTAATAAGGCACCTATCTTTAAACCTATTTGGACCTGAAGCATCAGATATAAGTACAACAAAACCTATATTTCAGATGCTTTTGTGCCATCCCACCTAATGGACATTAAGATGCTGTATTACTATGAGTCAGCTCCTAGCCACCTAACGTGTAAGATTCATAAAGGCATTCTCATATTCGTCAAATTTCCACCATAAAGAAATTGCTTCAAGTGTAATTCTACTCTTTGTTTGTCTTTTCAAATTTGTCCTCATCTTAAGATCCCTAGTAGAACAGGAATTCATCTTTTTCCATTTAGTTTTACTTTATTATGACATCTTCATAGGATCATTGATTTACAGCAATCAAGTTATGTGTTACATTTCAGAATTGTGAGGCCAAATAGGATGTCTTTTATGATGTTCTGATATAAACACAACTTTTCCTAACAGCTTAATGTTCTCTACTGAAGAAAATGTAGGACCCATTTGTAACTAAAGAGTGAATAGTATCTTTTTAGTTTTATATATATCATTTGAAAAGTCATTGGTAACTTTGCCCCTTCACCTTACTCTATAAAACCAACTATTTGGCAAAGCCAGTCCTACTATATTTGAAAAAAAGAAAAGAAGATTATGTATTTCCTCTGCTCCTTAGTTTCCCCATATAGCACCAGTATTTTATAAAAGGCTAGCACAGTGGTTCTCAGCCTTCCTAATGCCGTGGCCCCTTAATACAGTTCCTCATGTTGTGGTGACCTGCAACCATAAAATTATTTTCATTGCTACTTCCTAGCTGTAATTTTGATACTGTTACAAATCATAATGTAAATATCAGTGAATGAAATACATTCACTGATATTTTCGTTCACTGGACCAAACTTGGCACAAATATCTGATATGCCCAAATGTGAATACTGGTGGGGATGGGGGGGGGGGGGGGATATTCTCATTTGGGAGTTGGAGTTAGAGTTGCTGGGATTTATAGTTCACCTACAATCAAAGAGCATTCTGAACTCCACCAACAAACTTGGCACACAGAACTCCCATGACCAACAGAAAATACTAGAAGGGTTTGGTGGGCATTGACCTTGAGTTTTGGAGTTGGAATTCACCTACATCCAGAGAGCACTGTGGACCCAAACAATGATGGATCTGGATCAAAGTTGGCACGAATCCTCAATATGCCCAAATGTGAACACTGGTGAAGTTTGGGGAAAATAGACCTTGACATTTTGAAGTTGTAGTTGCTGGGATTTATAGTTCAACAACAACCAAAGTGCATTCTGAACCCCACCACCAATAGAATAGGGCCAAATTTCCCACACAGAAACCCCAGTGTCAGATGGTCTTTGGTGACCCCTCTGACACCCCCCTCGTGACCTCCCCAGGGGTCCCAACCCCCAGGTTGGAAAATACTGGACTAGTACATCATCACTTCTGACTTCTCCAGCATAGATCATCCTTCTGATATCTCTATTTTTCAACTATAAATACATACATTTTTTAGTGAAACACCCAAAGTCATTCCTAAATTTGTCAAAATATATACTTGTTTGTTTTGGAGTAAGAAACATGTTTTGTGATTTGAGTGACATGTAAACATGTAGGAAAACATGTAAACATATTTAAGCTGTGGGTTTGTTTTTGTTTTTTACTGTGAGGGGTATTTATTTCTGAAATAACCACCCAAAAATTCTCATCTTCTTTTTAAAAACGAGTTCATAAAACGCTTGGCAAAACTGACTTGCTGGAGTCCTTGTACCCCCTCAAAACCCCAAAGTGATAGAAATTACTTTCTTTTCAAATGTTCTAGGTTAACAGTAACCTGAGACATCCAGATGACAATCAATGGAATCATGTTTCAATGTGCATCATAAATGGTGGTGGAATACGGGGACCCATTAATGAAAAAATCAACAATGGTATGCTTCGTAGGAACTAGGGTTGTCGGGTTTTCTTTTGGCAATTCTGCTTCGGTTTAATCTCTCTGTTTCACATTTCTGTCAATGCCTAACTAGTTTTGTGATTCTTGTTTGATAACTTCTGTATTTCACCTCTGTTGTTTTTCTTAAACTAATCAGACTGTAAAGACTTCTCTCTTTTTCTTCTCCCTCTTTGCACATACATACATGCCAGCAACAAAAAGTTAACACAAGATGTTAAAGAGAACATTTTTTCTTGGTGTTGGAAGATACTGTGCCAGTCCACTGATTATATTCTTCAAATGAAGGTTAGTTTGTTTTTTTAAAAAAAACATCTTTTCCACAGGGATGTGCCATCATGTACAAATAACAAAAAGCAGACTTCTTACCATTCAGTTCCCTTGCGTCATTTCAGAAAGCTCCAAACAACAACCAGGCACACACAGCACCAAAGTAAGCTTTACATGTTAAGAAGAATCCATGCATTAAGTAGCAGCACATACTGGAGCCTTTTTGTCAGCTTTTCCCAACCTGGTTCTTCCAGATGTTTTGGATTCCAAATCCCATCAGTCCTAGCCACAGTAGTCTGCTAGGTACTGTAGTCCAAAACATTTGGAAGGCACCAGTTGAAGGAACGTTGTTTTTCAGAACCAATCATGTAAATATGGCATGTTTTTCAATAGCTCCAGATTGAGTTACACTGACCACTCACATTATTTATTTATTTATTTATTTTATTTACTATGTTTATACCCACCCTCTCACATCCCGAAGGGGACTTAGAGAAGCTTACAAGTTATATGTACATACAATATCATATACTATTAGCATAGCACAATATTAGCATTATATATTACTATATTGTACTATACCACTATACAGTGTTCCCTCGCTAGTTTGCGGTTTGCTTTCCGCAGACTCTGTTTTGTGGTCTTAAAAAAAGAATTTAAAATATACAAGTAGCGAGGGAACACTATATACCTGTTGTTGCCCCAGCGTAGATGCTGCCTCCTCTTCCTCCTCCTCCTTCCCTGACAAGACCTTGCTCGTCCATTTCCCTACGGCGCCTCAGAGAAGAGGAGGAATAGGAGCAGGATGAGGAGGAGGCCTTCCCTCCGGGCTCCCACATGTCCCCCCTGTCCTGGGCTTCTGTGTCCGGGTCAAGCCAGCTTCCCTGCTGCTGCTGCTACTGCCATTAGCGGTGCTGGGCCTGAGCGAGTAGCAGAACAAGGCAGCCATGGCCCTGTCTCGATGGCCCCTCTGCTGCCACTGCCCCTGTGCCCTGGCCTGGATGGTCCTGGAACGTGACACCCACGATAAGTGAGGGAACACTGTACTGTAATATTATTTAGTTATTTATTTTGTACATTTGTACCCTGTCCTTTTCACCCCTGGAAGGGGGGTGGGGACTCAGGGCGGCTTCAAAACAAGCACTCATTTTAGTGCTAATTTTTTTTAGGTGATCCCTCGTAGTCCAAGGATGATGGTCCTCCAAGAGTGGTAACCTGGGGGTGGATCTGTAGGTGGCTGTGGAGCCCTATTCTTGATCTGCATCTTCTCTTGCAGTGAGGGCATCGGTTTCCAGGTGGAAGGAGGTCCCGGTCGGAGTTGGCATGACACGCCTTCCTCTTGACACGTTTCTCTCTTTCATGCTCCATTCATGCCTCTTCAAATTCTGCAGCACTGCTGGTCACAGCTGACCACCAACTGGAGCGCTCAAGGGTCAGGGCTTCCCAGTTCTCAGTGTCTATACCAGAGTTTTTAAGATTGGCTTGGAGCCCATCTTTAAATCTCTTTTCCTGTTCTCCAACATTCCATTTTCCGTTCTTGTATTCGGAGTAGAGCAACTGCTTTGGGAGACGGTGGTCAGGCATCCGGACAGCATGGCCAGTTCAGCGGGGTTGATGGTGGAGGACCATCGCTTCAATGCTGGTGGTCTTTGCTTCTTCCAGCACGCTGACATTTGTCCGCTTGTTTTCCCAGGAGATTTGCAGGATTTTCTGGAGGCAGCACTGATGGAATCGTTCCAGGAGTTGCATGTGACGCCTGTAGACACTCCACGTCTCACAGGCGTATAGCAGGATTGGGAGGACAATAGCTTTATAAACAAGCACCTTGGTATCCCTACGGATGTCCCGGTCCTCAAACACTCTCTGCTTCATTCGGAAAAATGCTGCACTCGCAGAGCTCAGGCGGTGTTGAATTTTGGTGTCAATGTTGACTTTTGTGGAGAGGTGGCTGTCAACATTTTCTAATGTTACATCATTAAGTTGTATTTTTAGCATTGGAGAGGGATTGGCTGGTGACTGCTGGAAGAGCACTTTGGTTTTCTCGATGTTTAATGACAGGCCAAGCTTCTCGTATGCTTCTGCAAAGGTGTTTAGAGTGGCTTGCAGGTCTTCTTCTGAATGCGCACAGATGACGTTGTCATCAGCATACAGGAGTTCTATAACAGATGTTGTTGTAACCTTGGTTTTGGCTTTCAGTCTGCTGAGGTTGAATAGCTTGCCATCTGTCCGATAGATGATTTCCACTCCGGTGGGAAGCTTCCCATCAACAAGATGAAGTATCATAGCAATGAAGATGGAGAATAAGGTTGGGGCAATAACACATCCCTGTTTGACACCTGATTCCACCTTAAATGGGTCACTTTGGGAGCCATTGCTGTCCAAGACTGTTGCCATCATGTCATCATGGAGGAGCCGCAGGATGTTCACAAATTTGTTAGGGCACCCGATTTTTTGGAGGATGGTCCAGAGAGCGCTGTGATTCACTGTGTCGAATGCCTTTGCAAGGTCAATGAATGCCATGTACAGAGGTTGATTTTGTTCCCTGCATTTTTCTTGGAGCTGTCGTGCAGTGAAGATCATGTCCACTGTTCCTCTGGAGGGGCGGAAGCCATTCTGGGATTCTGGGAGGGTGTCTTCTGAGAGGGGCAGAAGGCGGTTTGCAAGGATTCTTGCGAGGATTTTCCCAGCGGAGGTTAGAAGGGAGACACCTCGATAGTTTCCGCAGTCTGTTCTTTCCCCCTTTTTTGAAGAGGGTGATGATGGTGGCATCCTTGAAATCTGCGTCATTTTAGTGCTAATCACAAACATAAAATACAGTTAAAAACAATTCATTTAAAATACATTATATTAATAAAACATTTGTTTAAAATCACATCGGTTTAAAATCAGTGTCTGGGTTAGTCCATTGTCATTCGTATCACATTAAATCATCCCAATTGCTGCCTCTGTTATTAGTAATATTACATGTAATATATAATATTATTATACAGTATTAGTAGTAGTATTATATTGTATTACATTATAATATTATTATATTAAATTAAAGCTTATATTTTAGTCAGTTGAGATCTACTTCAAAAGGTCTACTCCAGATGATTCCCTCCTCCCTCCTGAGTTAATGGCTACTGGACAGAGAACCCTTTTTGTAGTGACCTCTGGCTTTTGGAATTGGATAAAGTTTGGCTAGATGTTGTTGGATTCCAACTTCTACCAGCTCTGGTCAGCACAGCTAATAGTGACAAATCCTGGGAATTGGCATTCAAGAACACTTTACTAGCCCCTGTTATAGGGCAGACGCAGCGTTGCCTTCTTAAAAACCATCTTTTAGTAGCCGGGTGAAATATGTCTTGTCCTTTCTTTTCAGGGCTTCTAGTGTTTGAAATCTTTTTCTGTTTCCTTTGTCTGTCCTGATGATTTACATGTTTGCTAGCTGTTCTTAAATCCTATTTAACAATGCTTTTATTATAATTAATTGCTCTTGCTTGCTGATTGTTCTTCTGATTTTGTATTGGAAGATGTCCTGAGACACTGTTATACAACTGGGTTTTGTTTTTGTTTTTGTTTTTTGTTTTTTTTTTAAAAAAACCCACATTTGTTCAAGGTAGCATATACACAACTCTTACACTGTATCTTATGCAACATATTTGTAATGTAGGCTGAACGGCAAGATTGAGGCTTGCCCAAGGACAACAAATAAGCATTTGGAGTCAGTCTTCTCAAGTTATAACCATTAGAGTTGGAGAGGCTGCAAACTACCACAGGCAGTTAATAATACACTTTATTTATATTCCGCTCTATCTCCCCAAGGGGACTCAGAGCGGATTACAGTATACACATCTATAAGCAAACATTCAATGCCTTTTTATACAGTGAATGACAATGACATGCAATGCACAAACAAAGGCAAAGGTTTCCCTTTTCATCTCTGGCATCTGAATTTACAGACATCCGACTTACATCAGACTCATTATTAGGAACGGGGGGGGGGCGGGGGGGKGAGATAACAGGAAGTAAGAGGAAATCCTCCCCTAGAAAGGGAAATTCACTCCTGGAAGAAAGATCATGGGGAAAAGGTTTGTTCACTAAAGCTTTAGCACCTGTCCTTGTTTCTATGATGTGCCAAAAATTCCAAATTCCCATTTCACAGGGACAAAAAGTAAAGTGGAATCTTCTGAACAGGGGCACAGACAGCAAAACAAACATTACAGGGGAGTTAACTCTTCTTTATGCTATCCAAAACTAAAATAAATATCTTTTTTGGCTGAGGTTACACTTGAAACTTTGACTTACAGACAAATTTAACTTAAGAACAAACCTTCAGAATCTATTTTGTCCATAACGCAGGGACTGGCTTTATTCCCACCCACCTTCGCTCTTGACCAGGTTGGCCAATGTTCATGAGTTCAACAATATCTGGAGCACTTACATTTCTCCAGAGCTCATGGTGGTACAATGGGTTAAACCCTTATGCCGGCAGGACTGAAGACCGACAGGTGAGAGGTTTGAATCCAGGGAGAACATGGATAAGCTTGCTCTGTCAGCTCCAGATCCCCATATGGGGACATCAGAGAAGCCTCCCATAAGGATGATAAAACATCTGGGTGTCCCCTGGGCAACGTCCTTCCAGATGGCCAATTCTCTCACACCACAAGCAACTTGCAGTTTCTCAAGTCGTTCCTGACATGAAAAAAAAATCTCCAATTCTATATTATCATAAACTAAGATGTGAAATAATCAAGATGATATTAAACAAGATTCTACACTTGACTGTATTTTTAAACATTTCATTGTATTCAGGTACAATTACCTGGGAAGAGTTGCTCTCCGTGTTGCCCTTTGGAGGAACATTTGACTTGCTACAGATCAAAGGTTCAACTCTGAAAGAAGCCTTTGAGCACAGTGTTTACAGGCATGGGCAAGGAACAGGCGAACTACTACAAGTCTCAGGTAAGCGCCATCCCTGAATTCAGCGCCATCCCTTGTTCAGAGCCCTAAACACTCTTTATTTCTGATTGATAAATAGGTGGCTTATCTTGCTTTTGCATTGTACCATTGGAGAGACTTGTTTTGTATATGCAAGTGAAGCCAAGTAAAAGGTGAACAATCAACGAGCTTAACTTCACAGACATGTCAACACACCTCCCGGGATGGTATAATCCAAGGGTCTTGTTATGCTGCAAGTACCAGCGGGGCCTCCAGCATGTGTGTCCTAATTCCAAAACATACCACAAGCAAAAAAACAAAAAACTAAACCCCAAACCAAAAAACCCCATGAATTAACTATCACTAAAACTCCCATTCCTCATCACCTCACATCTTATTTCTGTTCTAGATCAGGAAAAAATATTTGCATTTATGAACAAATAATTATACTTCTTAGATTGGGATTTTGGACCACAGTTGGGGCTGGCACTGTTTAACGTACTGCCCAGCCAGGCTTGGCTCACTCTCACTGGCATTGGCTTCCTAATTCGCCAGCTTGCAAAGCTTGTCTATTGGATAATCACAGGCAAGGCTCCCCCTACAAAGACTTTCTTTTCCTGCCTCATGTACAGTTAAGGTCTTCTTTGCCAGAGGTGCTGAAACAACTGACAAGGAATTGCCATGGAGTAGGAAAGCACTATTTCTTTAAGAGTGCAATCAGTAGATTCTTATGCAATTAGTTTATAATACCTTTACTATGTATAAACCACTGGTTCTTAACCTGTGGGCCACGGACAACCAGTGCGCCACAAGGATGAAAATCTGGTCCGTGAGCCTCCTTTATTTTATTTATTTTATTTTATTTCCACTCCGTGCCACCTGCCATTCCATGGCATATATTATGTATCAGAAACTAGAGCTGATGTGGTCTACCCAATGCAATTTTCTGAATCAGCACCCCAAACAGAATCTGAAGTTGACCAAAAACTGATTCGAGAAACCCTTTTGGTACTAATGTTGGAGAGTGGTCCCTGGTCAAAATGGTCCCTGGTCAAAGGGGTCCCTAGTCAAAGTGGTCCCTGGTGAAGTGGTCCATGGTCAAAGTGGTCTCTGGTAAAAAAAGAATGAGAACCACTGCTATAAACTGATCCATCAGGATTCCAGAGGACTTTGGGGGCTTCTGCCTTTGCTCTGGAATTGGCTTATGACTAACATTATGGTGAAATTCAAGGGCACAGACAGAAGGAAGCCTGCCTTGAAGAACAACTCTTTGTTTTATTTTAAGATGGACAGGAAGGAGAGTGCAAGTGATTTACATGCTCCGCATTTCTGAGTAGAAAGAAATCAACAGAGCACCTGGGAAAAGAGCTTGGTGATCATTCCTACGAGAGAATACTGACTTTATGAGTAACGATTTGCAAGAAATTATGTTAGCAATGACACAATATGTCAGATGTAGCAATGTTTCCTTGGGAAAAAACCCCCTGAAATTGCTATGAGTACCGTATTACTATTTTACTTTCATGTGATGTGTAGGCAATTATTTGTTTCTTCAGAAGTATTAGGTAGGGAGTCATTTTGGAGATGTGAAACCATTTTCCCTGTTTTTCTTTAAAACCAAATCTCAAAGATGTACCATGACTAATGTGTTACTCATATGACCCTATTCAAATGCAGTGACAGGTTTTGCTCCAGCTTTTTTGCTCTAGTCTGATGGATACCAGCCACCATAGGTTAAGTATTAAATAAACATGCATTCTCTTCAGAAGACATGTGTAGAGTGAGAGATTTAAAAATGACCACCCTTCAAAGAAATGACATCTAATTTATTCTTAACCCTTCCCTTGGTTGCCACTGATCTTCTAAAATTCTATTCAAATGTGTGTTTTTCTGTAGGCATACGTGTTGTGTATGATCTCTCCCGAAAGCCAAGGAACAGAGTAATAAGCTTAAAGGTCCTTTGCACAGAGTGTAGAGTACCAGTCTATGTACCAGTCGAGATGGAAAAAACATACAAAGTCCTTTTACCGTCTTTCCTTGCTGGGGGAGGGGATGGTTATTCCATGCTACAAGGAAGTTCAAACAACCACAGTAGTGGTAAGTATATATAGATATGGTGATATCTCAAATATTAATAAAATGCCATCCTGTATTTTCAATTACAGTATTCAAGCTGAAAGAGAAAATATTTCAACTCAGGTTGGGGGTGTTACCCAAAACGGGAAGTACATTCTTTAAGACAACATTTGAATAAAATCCAGAGTCCATTGGCACACAAATTTCAGCAGAATTGACAAGTCACCTTAAAACATGTTCCAGAAAGCTGGAGCAATTATTTTTGCACTATAGAGAACTACAGCAAGACTGGAGTGAATCCCAGTTCTTCTGGAACTGGGATATTAAATACACTGTGAATTGGAGATTGGTTCAGATGACCTAGTAAAACAAATCTCAGCAATCAAGCTTTCAATGCTTCATTGGTTCTTTATAAAGCAAAGATTTTACACAACATCTTTGTCTGATGAAGAGGCCAGCAAAGCTTCAAAAGTTTCCAGGATGCATTTTCTGCATTTAAGTTGACCAATAAACATACTGCTCGTTTTGGACATTTTTTGATTTTGTTGATAGCAAGATATGTGGCTATCTTCCTAGATTCAGTAACAATATCATGCAATGCCTTGTTGGGTGATTCAAGTATCAAGCAAAGCTGCAAGTTCTTTTTTTAAAAGTAATATTCCAAACTTATTTCTGAATTAGGACTTTCAGATGTTCTTTCCACATTCTTTTCCTACTATGTTAAATTCTTTCATGATTGCTTCTACATGTCAAGCATATAAACAGACCTCCCACCAGATGTTACGTGTTTGATTTCTAAAACTATTTCTATGCTGAAGGACATGCATAGAAACCATTGATATTCAGCGCTTGAGTATCTTAGCACTCATAGACACCAGAGCATATACATTGTTAGTGGTAAGCACGCATGGGAAAACAGGTGCACGCGTGAGAAGTCCTCCGTTCTGCTAATTAAGTCCAAACACAAAGCAGTCATAGATTTATCTGCCCTTTGCAAAAGATCATTCTACAAGTTAGGAATATTCTACAATTTGGTTTTGGGAGGAGCCAAAACCTCCTTCAGTAGTGTATTCAGAGCAAATATGTTCCAAGGCATTCCTTCTTTAACAGAAAATTTGGTAACAAGTATAGAAGTAACATGGAAAGAATAGGGCTAGCCTTCTGTACAATAAAAAGAAGAACACGGCTTTCAAGTGAAATGAAACAATCTGGTTTCTCTTCAGATCATAAAAAAAAAGAAATGAAACAATCGGGTGGTAAGGTTTTTATCAGAAGAAAAACATTTTGAACCTTCTAGAGACCACTTGAAAACTTTTTCTGAAGTGTATGCAGGAATTAATTTTTTTCACCACCCTCCACTTATGATTTCTATTTTGAAAATTTTGATATACTGGGGGTTACTTGCCAGGCAGGTCGATCTGCTTTCTCCTTCTCACCCTGTTTTGTGCTTCACACATGCTCAGTAAAGGGTTCTGGAAGGATATGTTTTTTTTACCTTGCTTATCATAAGCAGGAATGCATACTTCTATTACCAGGTGTGCTGGTTTTAACCTATAAAGCCCTACACAGCTTTGGTCCAGGCTACTTGAGGCACCGTCTCCTATGATACAGATTGGGCAGAGCAGCACCAAAGCTTTGGAATGAGCTTTGGAATGAGCTCCCTATCTTATGTCCTTTAGGAAAGTACTGAAGACTTTCCTACTCAAATAAGCTTTTAATTGACTTTATTGGGTTCTAGTATTTTATAGATATCTGGAAATTTTAGAAGCATTTTATTTAATTGAATTTTAAATATTACAAGATGATTGATGCTATAGAGCTTTTTTGGTTTTATAGTCTGTTTTAATGGATGACTTATGTTATATTGTCTATTTTAATTATTGCCTATTTTATTGATGTGAGTCGCCTTGAATCCATCAGGAGAAAGGCGGCATAGAAATCCCCAAAATAAATAAATAAAGTATATCTGATGTAGACAAAGGTTATACACATCACATTACAGATACTTCAGGGTATCTCAAAATTATGGACATAATTTCAAAGTAGTATAGATTTCAAATAAAATCCAATCTTTTTGAAACACCTTGTATCTTAAGCCTAGTTAGCACCAAATAGCTGTGAACTTTAATGCACACAATGTAGTGATTGATAATCCACTTTGGTAGAACTGAGATGCTCAAATGATTTGTTTGATAAACATAAACTAACATAAACTTCTTTAAAACATTTTGAACAGGTGATCTTGACGTGGCAGTTGTGTCCAGTTATATTACCAAAATGGGAAGAGTATATCCAGCAGTTGAAGGACGCGTGTTGTTTTCCACTCAATCACGTGGAATACACACGATTGTATTCCAAGGACATCTTTACCTGATTTCCAGCTTATTTGTTTTGTTTTTCTGCCTCATCCATTAATTTTCACCTGCTCTGTGGACACCGAAGTGACTTGTTAATAGTTGAGACACAATCTAAGGTCTTGAGATCATTCAAGGATGTTTATAAGCCAGTATGAACATGATTAGTGCTGGAATGAATGGAAAGCCTGTGAATTTTAATGCTGATTTTAATGTACACTGTATGACCAATGTACATAATTTTATGTATATAGTCAGTATGTATGTATGTCTTATTACTATGAATTTTAGGGAACTGAAATAAGCCTACATTGTAATTAAAAAGCACCCCTAGTATGTGCAGACTGTGACTGTATTATTTAATTTGGTGAAATTTAGGAGATCCTGCAAAGCACAAGATGTTCTAGCCGATGGTTTGTTGACTGAAATAAAGGCTACTGACTGACTGACTAGTTAAGCTTAACCTTAAAAATGATACCGTTTAAAGTTATTATTTTCATGGTAAACTAAAAGGAAGGATCTGCGTCAAATAAGTCCCTAGCTTACTTTATTTTAAACACTGCATTATTCCATGAACCGAACCAAGTTTGGTACATTTCATTACTAGTGGTGGGAAACGCAGGAGAAGGTAGAATTAATTAACATAATTAAACTAAGTAGTGATAGTATATCACTATCATGTATTGATTTCATTTTATTTGTGGGGACTATTTCTAAGAGCATAAGCTCTGAAGGATGAACAAAGTAATGCTGTTTCAATGAAGCTCATATAGATTAATGGACACAAAATTGAAACTCAAGGGGACTAGTGTACTTGAACTGATTAGTTCACATTTTTAGCCTCAATTATCACACACAGCTAAGATAGAAAATGGGAAAAGAGAGGAAACGTAGAAATGGAATTGATGAAGGCAGGACTGACCGATTCATGAGCTGAAGAGCCAGCAGAAATGCTCTTAAAAATTAAGCTCCATAGCAGCTATGTACCTTAGAGAGTTAATAATCACATCCATATTCAGTGCATGGCCTTAAAAAAACCCTGAAGGCCAATGAAGTCTATTTCTTGCAGTCATTTCTGCAAAAATATGGGCAAAGCCTTAAAAAGACCTTGGTATGATTAATGTAATATTAAACCATTTGCATATTTGTCTAAGCAGACAATCCAGAAAAAAACAGCATTTGTGAGCAACTGCTGGATTTGTACCAATTTTTTGAAATTCTGTTCAGGCCCCAAAAGTTTACCGTTTTGGACAACATCTAAAGTATTTCACCTATCTACGTGTCTGAAGTGCAAATCATGGTTTGGAATCGCTGGTCAGCACACATACAAAAGACTAGTTAGATACTCTGTTTGGTCCTTCACAGACAGCAAAAAGCAATGTCCTAATTTTTCCTAAGTTTTATCTACGTACTTGGCCACGGTGGTCCATGTTCTCGTTACAACTAGGATAGACTACTGCAATGTGCTATACGTGGGGTTGCCTTTGAAGACTGTTTGGAAGCTTCAAATAGTCTGAGAGGCAGCTAGGTTTATAACTGGGGCGGCATACTGGGAGCAGTCAACTCCCATGTTACATCAGCTCCACTGGTTGCCAGTTTGCTACCGAGAATGCAAAGTGCTGGCTTTGTCCTATAAAGCCTTAAATGACCCCGGCCCAATCTACCTGTCTGAACGCATCTCCCTTTATGAGTCATCACAGAGATTAAGATCTTCTGGGGAAGCCCTGCTCTCTGTCTCGCCATTGTCACAAGCACAATTGGCAGGGATGAGAGAGAGGGCCTTCTCGGTGACTGTCCCTTGGCTATGGAACTCCCTTCTGGATGCGATCAGATTAGCCCCCTCCCTTCTGTCCTTCAGAAAGTTGGTAAAAACTTGGCTGTGGGACCAAGCCTTTGGGACAGTGCAATAAGGCAGCATTAAGAAACCCTACCATGCCAACCGGATTCAATGTGGATGATTGAGATGGTTTTAAACAGTGGATTTTAACGTTTAATGTTAACATTAACGTTTAATGTTTAAGTAGGTGTGTAGTGTAATTATGTCTGGAATTGAATGTTTGCCATTTATGTGTTGTGCTCTGCCCTGAATCCCCTTTGGGGTGAGAAGGGCGGAATATAAATGATTTAAATAAAATAAAATAAACACTTTATCCAGGGGCAAAACAGGCAACAAGGTCATTGAAATTCAGTCAATAATAAAGTTTAATTTTTCTTGAGTAAAGATATTTTTCTCCAAACTTAGTTCGTTGTATATACAGGCAAAAATGTACAAAACTACACAAATGACCCATCCATTAAACCAGAACATAACAGTCATCTACAGAATAGAGTTAATTCAGTGATCTGATGTGGAGAAAAAATGCTTTTCAACCTGTTAAGGGCAACAAAATGGGGGACGGGGAGAGAATCACCTTGATTTAATTTATCCAGCCAGGAAACAAACAGAATACAGCAATATGTATTATAGCAGTAAACACAATTAGTTTGAATAAATTGATTAGGAAGTTCAGTGTCTTAAATTCTCAAATGTCATAGGTAAATACAGAGATGAGCATGGTTTGCTGAAGGCACCATTCAGACAGTGAAATCATTCTAAACCATGCCATGCAATAATGCAAAAAGCACAACTCCACTCCAAACACGTAGCTTCATTAATACAAGACTCAAGGACCAGAAGCCACTGCAAATTTCTAGGGAACTCACACCCAATTGCATGGGATGTCATTGAGTGCTTTTGGGGTTCTCTTTTATTTCAACAGGAGGATTTCCAGCAAGCTGTGTGACAGACTAGTTGCAATCACCGAGTCATAGTAGGAAACACTGTGAGATTACTACCATAGCTCTGATCCTCTGAAATACATGAAAATGCATACCTGTATGGCTACGTTTGACTGAATGTTTGAAGAACTGAGTAAAACAATACTAAAAAGACATCGCTGAATCTAAAATTAAAAATGCAAGTCTTCAATGAAAAGCAGGCCAAACAAACAAAAAAGTGCCACTGCGTTTTTATTAAAATGACCCTGTGATGAAGAAACAATAAATAAAGAGATCATAAATATATTCTTTGTTATAAAAACAAAGTCTGACATGGTAAAGATGTTTTATTTCATGATGTACCATGTGGGGGGGAAATGTAAGGGTAGCTATGTTACCATACAACAAAATCCGAAATACATGTTATAGTGATTTTTTTAATTAATTTTGCCAAAATAAATCATACTAGCTTTCAAAACCAGACAGCTTCTTAATCATTCTAAGATGTTAAAACAAGTATGTGTGGGAAAAAAGTGATAAGTGTTGGGGTCCCGTGTTCCAGTCACCTTATGGTCACGAAGAGATGTGGCCTCTATCTGCACTTCCACTAAGACCATCTCAAGTAAACACATGAAGTAAGATGAAGACTTACGACCTTAAAACACCATCACTTTTGTTTCCCTACATGAATTTTAACCATCTTTGCCTGATGAAGCATGATGCACAGCATGCCTTTCATTTGACCCAATAAAAGCATCTCTGCAATGTGTATTTCAGAGTCTATGGAAAAAATAATAACCTGCAATAACAACTAGAACACATTGCTTTAAAAGGCCAAGTCAAATGAATAGAGAACGGATCATTCAACAACTACGGTCGTTCCATATTGGTAATCAGAATAATTACTATTGGTAATGGTACTGTTGGGATACACAATAAGGAATGGTTCTGTTTTTTTTTGCTTGTCAATCTCCAGAGAAATCTGACCGAAGGCTGATTAATGGAACAAAAAGGACTTTGGTTTGTCCATTGTCCAATTCTTCAATTGCGTAGTGCTCAATAAAACTGCTCTCTGTGCTTCTCAGAAACCAGCAATGGAACCACTCCCAAAACTCACTCTCATAAACAATGTGCAAGAGCTATAAAAATCAAAATTACTGAGGTGATTTCAGAAGTGCCCCTCCTTCCTCAGATGGCTTCTTCTGTGTGAACAAAGGCTTTCTTCTGGCTTAAAGCATGAGTCTTATGTATGAGAACTGAAATCCATTTGTTCTTCTGTTTGTGCAGAATGACAGCTCCTGTTTCAGGCTGCATGCCAACAAAAGCAGTGCAGAAACCCTGGCACGTGGACTGTTGCAGAGCATCACCCAAAGTCTTGCCCTAGCTCAGCCGTTCAAGGAAGGGAGCCATGGTTGGGATTTCTTCTCCTTGCAGATCTTTGGATCCATCTGGGCCCAGGATTTTTCACAGAGGATAAAGGAAATGGGACAAGGTAGCAGAAGGGGATGTCAACATCAGCCGCAAATCCTAGGGCATCTGAAACACCAATAGATTTATTGTGACATCATAACCAGACCTGATAAACACTGAGATTTGATGAAGCACAGTCTTACCCACAAAAGCACCTGCCTTTAAATCAGGAATGGGAATTAAGCAGCCCTCCAAGTGTAGAACTGCAGCTCCTAACTGCAGTTCTCGATTAGCAAATGGCAAATAACGATATAGTCATAATTCAAAAACTCTGAGAGCAGCAGCAGCGCCCTCCCAATTTTAAACTGTCTTTCTGATGCCCGAGACACACTGTTGGTGTCAGACTAGCATGATGTCCCCACTGGAATTTGTCACCAAGCTCATTAAAGAGAACCAAGAAGTCAGATGTGCTGTGGACATCAAGACAGACCAATTGGAAGTTTCAGAAACTATTTTACTAAAACATAACGAGTGAACCATGGTCAAGATACAGACTGCTTGATTCTCAGTATGAGCATCTGCATGCCAATTGTGCTACATGGCCCTTGACTTGAATCACAATACTGGGAAACCAAATATGAAGGAGTATTATAACTGCCCATTTTGATGAGGCAAATGGATACATATCAGCCAAGAATGCCCATCTACACATGTAACAGTATTACATATAGACCTCTGTTTCAACTATCTTGGATTGAATGCAGACGGCTTCTATTTCAGGTTGCACATCAACATGCATGCAGTGGACAAAAATGCCCAACCACTTCTATGAGGGAGCTTGTATTCCTGATTTGTAACTATAACCATGGTTAAATCAAACCTTTATTTTTCTCAGAAGAGCAATATGTCATTATTTATTTATTTTTCTACACAGCGCATCTTTGGTATCTGCTGGGGTTTGGTTCCAGGACCCCCTGTGGATGCTAAAATCTATGAATCCTCAAGTCCCATGAGACACAATGGGGTAGTAAAATGGCATCCCTTATATTAAATGGCAAAAATCAAGGTTCCTGTATGTATTTATTCTAGTTTGGAATATTTTCAAGACATGGATGCAGAATCAATGGATATGGAGGCACAATTGTGTATATAAACTGTATACAAAACATATGGTTTAGAACTCCGTTGTTTCAATTTGATGAAGAAAATAAGTTTATAAGCTGTTAAAATATACCTACTATCACAAAAACAAGAAGTTATTACATGTCTGTCTCATTACTGACCTCATTACTCAGTTCTGGAAATAGCTCCTGAATTCCAATATCCAGAAGAACATACGTTAACTGAAAATGAAATGCAAAGAGATTTATAAAATGAGCTCAAGTGCCCAAATCCCGAGTGCTCCCTGTATGTATCTAGGAATGCAGTCCAAAGGAATCACCAGCCACATGACAACAAAGGCCTGCAAAACTAAGTTGAACTACAGTCAGGCATCTACACGCCAACTATGTCCTCTACTTACACAATCTACACACCTCGTTTCAGTCTCCCTTCATCCCCATATTCCTTCACTATCATCCTTCATTCCTGGTTTCCATTCTGGTCTTTCTTGTGCTTGACTCATCTTTGCTTCTCTTCTCCTGCCTCTCAAGTCACCTTTCACGTGCCTCACTTCAGCCAACCTGACTACGTGCCTTCTTCTCTGTTTAAGCTCCTTATCCTGGCTGATCTCTGAAAAAGCCATTTCAGTTGTTTTTCCTGCTCTCCCTTACTATACTTCTGCCATTAAATGAAAGCCAGGGGAGCCTCAATAGGACAACAAACAGGAAGCATTACCATGAAGATTCCCTCTCCCATCTTTTGTCCCTTTTGTATTCTACTCACAAAGAAGGTACAGATGATGGATCAAGAAAAGTGGGTTGAGATTAGAGAGGAGGAGCTGGTAAGCCAGATAAGAAGGTTCTGCAGGCCACACCTAGCATGTAAAATGCAAGTTTACCACCCATCTTAAAGCTAGCTTATTTACATTTGTGCTATTAATGAATATGCAGCCAAGATAAGGTGAACTGGCAGAAAAACAGTCCATTTATTATTTTATTAACCTCAAGTGGGAAAGTTCATAAATGTACTTGGGAGAGATAGCCAATACTCCAGAGGACAGGAGCAGAATTCAAAACGATCTTGACAGATTAGAGAGATGGGCCAAAACTAACAAAATTAAGTTCAACAGTGACAAATGCAAGATACTCCACTTTGGCAGGAAAAACAAAATGCAAAGATACAGAATAGGGGACAATGCCTGGCTCGAGAGCAGTACGTGTGAAAAAGATATTGGAGTCCTCGTGTACAACAAGTTAAACATGAGCCAACAATGTGATGTGGCGGCAAAAAAAGCCAATGGGATTTTGGCCTGCATCAATAGGAGCATAGTGTCTAGATCAGGGAAGTAATGCTACCCCTCTATTCTGCTTTGGTTAGACCACACCTGGAATATTGTGTCCAATTCTGGGCACCACAATTCAAGAGAGATATTGACAAGCTGGAATGTGTCCAGAGGAGGGCGACTAAAATGATCAAGGGTGTGGAGAACAAGCCCTATGAGGAGCGGCTTAAGGAGCTGGGCATGTTTAGCCTGAAGAAGAGAAGGCTGAGAGGAGATATGATAGCCATGTATAAATATGTGAGAGGAAGCCACAGGGAGGAGGGAGCAAGCTTGTTTTTGCTTCCCTGGAGACTAGGACACGGAACAATGGCTTCAAACTACAAGAAGGAGATTCCATCTGAACATGAGGAAGAACTTCCTGACTGTGAGAGCTTCAGCAGTGGAACTCTCTGCCCCGGAGTGTGGTGGAGGCTCCTTCTTTGGAAGCTTTTAAACAGAGGCTGGATGGCCATCTGTCAGGGGTGATTTGAATGCAATATTCCTGCTTCTTGGCAGGGGGTTGGACTGGATGGCCCATGAGGTCTCTTCCAACTCTTTGATTCTATTATTCTACTGCATTCCCATCATCATCAAGGTCTATCAAGGGTCAAAATAGTAGCAGCAAGGATATATAGTCCCAGCTGTGCAACTATGCTGATGTATATACATTGCTTGTTTGGTCTTTAATGTATCCTCAAAGAGCAAGTATCTGGAATATCGCATACATTTGTGGTAGGTCTGAGAACAACTTTTCCGCTCCTTTTTTTCCTACTGTGTATTAACAGGAAGACAGAATTGCTTATTCACATGATCTAGCAGTGAATTGCACTTTTATATTACATAGTGTAGCACACAATGAATGTTGCCAAATCCAGCTTTAAATAAGGCTGGGATGGGATTTGGGGGCACTGTTTTGAAGTGGCTCTGCTCCTGCCTGGAAGGATGGACCCAGATGGTGGTGCTCGACCGCATGACTGTTTTCCTGTGGGGTCTCTGCAGGACTCTGTAATTTTCCCCATGTTGTTTAACATCTACGGGATGCTGTTGGGAGAGATTATCTGGAGTTTTAGAGTTTGGTGCCATCTGAACGCAGATTATACCCAACTCTACTACTCATTTCCACCAAAAGCCAAGGAAGCAGCCCAGACCCGGAACCGGTGCCTGTCAATTGTTGTGGACTAGATGAGAACAAACAAATGGAAATTGAATCCAGACAAGACAGAGGTCCTTCTGGTCAGTCGTAAGGGTGGCAACCTGTGCTGAAAGCGGGTCACACTCCCCCTGAAGACATAGATCTGCAGTTTGGGGGTCCTTCTGGACTCATCACTAATCCTGGGGGCCCAGGTGTCGGTGGTGGCCAGGAGGACCTTTGCACAACTAAAACTTGTGTGACAGCAACCATACCTTGAGAAGCCAGACTTGGCCATGGTCCCATTTAGACTACTGTAGTCCCATTTAGACTACTGTAACGAGCTCTACGTGGGGCTGCCCTTGTAAAGTGCCCAGAAACTTCAACTAGTCCAAAGATCCGCAGCCAGGTTACTCACACATGCTGGACCCAGGAAGCATGCTACAACACCTGCATTGTCTGCCAATATGTTTCCAGGCCTACTTCAAGGTGCTGGTTTTGACCTTTAAAGCCCTAAACAGTTCAAGTCCAACCTTCCTATCTGACTGCATCTACTCATACCAACCCACCTTAGAATTAAGATCTTCCAGAGAGGCTCTTCTCTTGCTTCCACCACCATTGCAAATGCAGTTGGTGGCGATGAGAGAGAGGGTCTTCTCGGTTGCCACCCTTTGGAACTCTCTCCCCAAGGAGATTAAAACAGCTTCCCTGACATCTTTTTAAAAGACAGCTGAAGACCTTCCTGTTTAATCAAGCTTTTAATGAAAAATTTAATTTGGAATGACAGGAAGGCTAAGTTTCAGTGAGTTGAGTGAAGGATATTATTTGAACTGATGAGTTTTCGCAACAATTGTATCCGTTAAATGATTTTAAATTTTTTACTTATGTTCTATTTTATAGTTGGTTTTACTGTTATATATATGGTTGATTTGTATTGTTTTTAAAATGTTGTGAGCCGCTTTGGGTCCCGTTGAGGGAGAAAAGCTGGATATAAATAAAGATTTCTTCTTCTTCTTCTTCGGGAACAGAAGTGAATCGTCAAGGGTACAGTTACTTCCAAGAGCGAAAATTTTACTGGCCATTGGCAAGTAGTTTACCATATGTCTGTTTTTACTCATTACAACACCAGTATAATGATCTAGTGTACACTAGTATTTCTGCAGCAGTATGGACATAAAAAGAGAAAGAAAATTAAGCTGTTTAAAGTACCAGAAATCACTCACTATCTATATATATAAATCTGAAAGTGGCGTCGAACGGAGAAGCAAAACTCAAAAAACCCCCAACGGAAATTAACCAAAATTCCCATGCACATACCTCAACCCACTAGGTACAAACAAACCCAAATAAAAAAACAACACAACAACATACTCACAAAAGGACAAAACAACTGAGCATGCGCAATGGCGCAAAGTCCCCGGAGCGCACATGGCCAAACAGCCAACGCACCCTCTGCACCTTCCTCCCCCCCCCCACCCCCCCACACACCACACACACACACCGCCCCCCTCCCCCCCCCGCGCGGCGCACACACACACAGACACGCCCCCTCACTCCCCCGCGCGGCACACACACACACACAGACACGCCCCCTCACTCCCCCGCGCGGCACACACACACACAGACACGCCCCCTCACTCCCCCGCGCGGCACACACACACACACACACACTCCCATGCACAACAGAAAATACTGGAAAGGTTTGGTGGGCATTGACCTTGTGTTTGGGAGTTGTAGTTACCAACATCCAGACAGCACTGTGGACTCAAACAATGATGGATCCGGACCAAACTTGGCACAAGCACTCAATACGCCCAAATATGAACACAGATGGAGTTTGGGGGAAATAGACCTTGACATTTGGGAGTTGTAGTCACTGGGATTCACAGTTCACCTACACTCAAAGAGCATCCTGAACCCCACCAACGACAGAATTGGGGCAAACTTGCCACACTGAACCCCCATGACCAACAGAAAATACTCAAGTTTACACACAAGCATAAAGAAATTATATATATTAGAAACCAACACTTTCTCATTACTTTTTTTTCAAGATCAACAGACTGGGCCACAGGAAAGATAAGAGAGACAGCAGAAGAGAAAGAAAAAGGGGGAAGGAAGGAAAGAGGTAGAGAAGGAAGAAATGAGAGAAAGAAAAAGGGGAAAGAAGGAAGGAGAGGAGGAAAGAAAAAAGGGAATGAAGGAAGGAAAGAGGGAGTGAAAGAAGGGGGAAGATGTAGAGAAAGAGGGAGGGAAGGAAAGAGAGAAGGAAGAAAAGAGAGACAGCAGAAGAGAAAGAAAAAGGGGAAGGAAGGAAAGAGATAGAGAAGGAAGCGGAGAAGGAAAGATGGGAAGGAAGGAAGGAGGAAAAGGAGAGAAAGAGGGAAGGTTGGCCACAGCAAATAAAAAGTGAAAGAAGGAAGGAAACATGGAGGGATGAAAGGAGGCAAAGGAAGAAAGGGGGAGGGAATGAAGGAAAGAGAGAAGGTACCTCTCTTTCATAATAGACCAGATATCTACCTCTACTATGAAAAGATTTACTATAGGCCACAGCAACGCGTGGCAGGGTACAGCTAGTTTTTTTTTATAAATGCTTACCTGTTTGTTAAGCACTGGCTGCTGTAATCCATCAAACAGAAGTCTGATGCCTTCGTATTTGGCCTCTTCTCCAAGGCACTTCCCTATTAAATCTAAACAAAGGATAGAGACAAACAGATATGAATTGAGGGAGAATTAGAAATTCTTAAACCCTCCGTTTTTCAAATAGTCAAAATGTTTACTCTGCAAGACATCAAACCACTGATTCTAACAAAACATTTTGGCTAGGTCGGCAATTTTAAGTATACAATTTGTGTTTGAGTAACTGGGGCATTCTTACTGTGTGTATTGTCCTGGAGAGTAAGCAGGGGAGTGTCCCAATTTCATACCTGAAATGTTCACACCATGAACCAACAAATGCTTAGGATTTAGCCTACTCTGTTCAAGTAAAACAATGGATCAGGTGTGTCCATCAGTCCTTAATCAGCATTATCTTCTCTGCCATGTCAGTTTTGGCTACACAACTTGGTATATGATTTGGGGTCAACTCAGGTGAGTTCACTATAAAATTTGCTCTCTCTAATTTATGCAAAATTAGAGAGAAAATCCAACGTTGCATTTGCCGTTGTGCTGTTTGGCCTCATAAATACAGTATGTGCAAAAAGTCCTAAACTGAGAACTGGAAAGGGGAGTATATGTTCTTGCTCATGTTACTGGACCTCTTGGCAGCATTCATGACTTCTGAGAGGCTTAGCTTGTACAGGATGAAGGAATACCCCTTGTACAGTGATTCTAGCGCTTTAGGGTCAAACAACCTAAGGAGGCAGCATTGGGTGACCAATGGGAAAGGAACAAGAATCACGTTGGATATTCCTTAGAACAGGGGTCCTCAAACTAAGGCCCAGGGGCCGAATACGGCCCTCCAAGGACATTTACCCGCTCCTCGCTCAGGATCAACCTAAGTCTGAAATGACTTGAAAGCAAACAACAACAACAACAACAACAACAATCCTATCACATTAGCCAAAAGCAGGCCCACACTTCCCATTGAAATACTAATAAGTTTATATTTGTTAAAATTGTTCTTCATTTTTATTATTGTATTGTTTTTAAGTGCTTTTCTTTTTTTGCACTACAGATAAGATATGTGCAGCGTGCATAGGAATTCATTCATGTTTTTTTTTTCAAATCATAATCCGGCCCTCCAACAGTTTGAGAGACTGTGACCTGGCCTCTGTTTAAAAAGTCTGAAGACCCCTGCCTTAGAGCCTTGTGGGTTTAGCAATGCAATCTGATGCATCTCGAACTACCGTATGCTTATATTATTTTGAAATATAGAAAACTGTAGGAAATGATGTTTAGATGAATATAGACAAGGATCTTGATGGAATAACTCTATTCTTGACAGCTCATGTCACAGTACACCACAAACCTGGAATGTACTTCATCATTTCATCAAAGGTCTGCTTTGCTCGTTTGTGCTTATCTTGAAGAGGCCGATGCTCAGAGTTCTCACAAAACACAGCATCTGAGTGGGAAAAATAATTTTAAGGCACCATAGACTACTATGTCACCCAGATTTTAATTATTTTAGTTAATTTTTATTGTTTAAATGAAAAGTACTTGACTAATAAGCCCTTCTTAATTAGAAGTCCCTCATTTAACCCTTGTTCCTTTTCAAGATACTTAAATAACAGGTCCTTCAAATTCTCATTTTAATTAACAGTCCTTCATTTAGTACTTTCAATGCCTTAAATCAAGAAATATCTTTCTAGGATCTACAGAGACACACATAGGGACACCTCAGCGAGCAAGAGTTCAAAAGTGGCAGACTAAAACCTGGAACCTCAATCCATGGCTGATACTAGATGAGAGACTCCCCTCTGGGCACACAGAAAACTGAGTACTGAACAGATTGCGCTCTGGCACCACGAGATGCCAAGTCAGTCTTAAGAAATGGGGCTACAAAGTGGAGTCCACGTCATGCGAGTGCAGAGAAGAGCAAACCACAGACCACCTACTACAATGCAACCTGAACCCTGCCACATGCACAATGGAGGACCTCCTCACAGCAACATCAGAGGCACTCCAAGTGGCCAGCTTCTGGTCAAAAGACATTTAGTATAATGCAAAGTTTTTAATTTTGTTTGTGTTTTAAATACATTATAACAGTACACAGAATTCGTTTCTGACACAATAAATACAAATAAATTTAGTATTTTGCTCTAGCTGCTTTTTACAGCACAAAAAGAAGAAACAATCACCCAGGAAAGTTTCTACAAGAACAAACGGAGCAAAGGCTGCTATTATTCACAGTCCAAGGACCTGTTGGAGCATAACTGGGACACTAACCTCTCAAAAGTGTGATAAGTGACACCAAACGGTGCTCCTGAAAGAGTTGTTCCAGCTTGTACCGCAAGTAGTAGTCGGTGTATGCCTCTAAGGTGTTTTTGAAGAGAATCCGGCCTCCCATCAGGATGTGATGAAGCCAGTCAGGTATATGGAACACCACTCTACCTGTAAGGTCAATATTGTTACATATGCGGTAGTTACTATATGAGAAACATTGTGTATTTTTAATGACTGAGATGATATTTTTTGAATGAATAACTCAGGTTTCAGACTGCCAATCCTCTGATGGTGCTTTCATGTTCCAAATGACATCATACATAAGGACATTTTGCAAAATACAACATGGCACATAAGAGAAGTTTTCAGGCCCTGGGGTTTTTTGACTTACTAAGATACTCCAATAGGTTTGGGAGTAGCAACATGACTATTACACTTGGACGCTAGTTTACAATATTTAGATTTGGTAGGTAAATAGCAATAACTTTTAGCCAAGCATTTTTCCAGTCTCCTTTCTCCACTGAGCAGACCTGTGAGAATTAGCCACATGATGTAGCACACCATGGTCTCTTGTTTTATTTCTTTCAGCAACAGGATCCCCACGATCTTGATCTACTTTTACTACAGTGAATGAATTCAAAAGATAATGCTCTTCCATACATAGACAAATAACAACAGTCGAGATCTCTTCGCAAGACATTATTTCCTTGTTTTGAGCTAGATCAGAATCCCAATCCTGATGTTAAAGTTCATTATATTACTTGCGCTTATCTAATATTATTTCCTACTCCTTCATTCAAAAAGATATTAGACTGACCAGAGAAGCAGGGCTGTATAATCTGGTATGACTGTTAAGTGTCAAAGTGGTTGCCAAATATCATTCCATATATATAGGTTCCAAAACTCCAAAAATACGTCATATTCATTCACACACACACACACACACAGAGGAATCATGGAAACTGAGTCTAATCTACTTTCACCATCATGATCTTGAAAATCAGAATTATTTGCCATTGGCACAAACCCTCAATGCATAAAAACTGCTGTTAAAAGAGCAAGAAAAACCTGCTGAGTTAGCATTACTTTTTTATTTTCAAGATGTGCTACTTCATGCTAAGAAAATTAAGAAACGATTTCTCACCAATATACATTAAGTAGTCATAGACTCCTTCGACAGTTATCATTTGCATAAAGTAGTTCTGATTTTGTCTTCTTTCTGAGTTCTCTGAACGGTTTGCATTGTTCTTGTAGAGTTCATTAAAAAGCTAAAATCAACGAGAATTGGGGGTTTAAAACAAACAAATACTAGGAAAAGCTTATCAGCAAAACAGATTATTCTAGAGTAACTTTTTGTTGGTTTTAATGTAACCAATGACATTTTTTTCTTGCACAAGTAGAAGCTGTAAGCAGTTCTGAAGTGATATTTTATATAGAGGAGCCCCTGGGTGGCACAGCGAGTTAAAGCGCTGTGCTGCTGAACTTTCTGACCGAGCAGGGCGAGCTCCAGCTTCTGCCAACCTAGCAGTTTGAAAACATGCAAATGTGAGTAGATCAATAGATACCATTTCAGCAGGAAGGTAATGGCGCTCTATGCAGTCATGCTGGCCACATGACCTTGGAGGCGCCGACGGACAACGCCGGCTCTTCGGTTTAGAAATGGACATGAGCACCACCCCTGAGTTGGACACAACTAGACTTAATGTCAAGGGGAAACTTTTACCTTTTATTATTTTATATAGTACAAAAATGAGGTTCTTTTATTTTATCAGTCACATCTCAAAGCTAAAACTACAACTTGCTCAAATTATACACATTTTGTAGCTCTGTCAACTACAAGCAGCTCCCTGATGAGAGCTGCTTTGCTTTTTTAGGGTGCTTCATTTTGGCACCATGAAATTACAATAATATATTCCCAAAGACAATTGAAGCCAATCAAAATTAGAAACAATGACTTTTCCCACATCATTTAATCAGTTGTTGGGACTTGAGTAATATTGGCTTTCCTCCAATATATTGCCTGCAATAAAAGAAGTGGGAATGTAGGAAGTGGGAAACTTAAGTTCAGAGCACCTCAGTCTGTGCTCATGTTGTACGCCCCCCCCTTTTTTTTCTTCTGTTCCCCTCCCATCCCACCTTCCTTGAGGACCAGGTTGTTGTGCTTAAAGACCCTGCAAAGTCCGGTTCTGTTCTCCAGATTCAGATTTGCTCTATCAAACCTTTTACATTACTGTATTATATCCAGGATCATTAATCTGATGCATGGTTGAAAGAGTTGCTAAAAAGTTTGTTTTTTTTCATGTCAGGGGTGACTTGAGAAACTGCTAAAAAGTGGAGGAGTTCCAGAATTACAGGGTCCAAAGGGAAATTAACTCTTGATTTATCTATCAATAGTTATCCTTGTGAACAATGTTGTATGTAAACAATTTTGTCAACAAGAAAGTTTCAGCAGTGATTTCTGCTGTTCTGTGAGTTGGGTTTTTTTAAAGCACCTTCCCTGAATTAGTAGAATTTCTTTTTATTTGGGCATAATGTGCACAAGAGCCATCGTGGTTTAGTAGCTTAGGTCTTAAACTATGACTCTAGAGCAGTGGTTCTCAACTTGTGGGTCTCCAGATGTTTTGGCCTAGTAAACTGGCTGGGATTTCTGGGAGTTGTAGGCCAAAACACCTAGGGACTCACAGGTTGAGAACCACTGCTCTAGAGGCTAGGGTTTGAATATTCATGGAAATCACACTCTCTCAATCTTAGAGGAAGGGAAAGGCATACACACCTCTGAAGGCATGTTACCAGGAAAAAACCCTGTGATAGGTTAGCCTTTGGACTGCCATAAGCTGGAAACGATTGATATCGAGCCACTGTTGATATCGAGCCACTGGTTTGTTAAAACTAGTATTTGAGTGATTGGATTTCATGCAGAACAACTTCAGACAGTGCTAATTAAAAAGAGTGCCTCTTCCAAACCAATGCTTTCTATTGTAGTCTGGGTTGCTTTTCTTTAACCACCCATCTGTCTAACAAGAGCCAGTGGCACTCCATAGGCTCTCTGGTCACACTGCCAGAGAGCCTATGTGAAATGACATACCTCATGGCAAATGACATACCTCATGGCAAATCAAAATGGGACAATTCACATAAGGGTTTGGTTTGGTTCAGGGCTTGTTGGACTAACAGCAACAGCTCATTAATACATGCTGATACTTTCTGGAACATTTTGGTTTTTCAGTACAGGTACCAGCATGTCCTAGAGCAGGGGTCCACAAACTTTAAACAGAGGGCCAGATCATAGTCCCTCAAACTGTTGGAGGGCCAGATTATAATTTTTTTAAAAATGAATGAATTCCTATGCGTATCTTATTTGTTGTGTAAAAACACTTTAGAATACAATAATTAAAATCAAGAACAATTTTAACAAATATAAAATTATTAGTATTTCATTGGGAAGTGTAGGCCTGCTTTTGGCTGATGAGATAGGATTGTTGTTGTTGTTGTGTGCTTTCAAGCCATTTCAGACTTAGGTTGACCCTGAGTGAGGGCAGGGTAAATGACCTTGGAGGGCTGTATTCGGCCCCCGGGCCATAGTTTGAGGCCCCCTGTCCGAGAGCAATGGATCCCAACTTTTTTTTGACCAGGGACCACTTTGACAAGGGACCACTCTCCAACATTAGTACCAAAAGGGTTACGAATCAGGTTTTGGTCAACTTTAGGTTTGGTTTGGTTATTTGGGGTGCTGATTCAGAAAACTGCATTGCATAGACCACATCAGCTCTAGTTTCTGATACAGAATACAGGCCATCCAGTAGTCGCCATCTGCTCTCCAACAGAAAACCATATTTAATAATCTAAACCTGATGTGGTCTATCCATGGGGTTGGGGCTGGTCAGCGACAGTGAAGGAGTGGCAGGAGGTGCAAAAGGAGTGGAAACAAAATAAGTAAGAGGAAGGAAGCTCGTGGACCAGATTTTTGTCCTCGCAGCACAATGGAGGTCCACAGCCCACAGGTTAAGAACCACTGTCCTAGAGGAAAGCTGGGTATATTTCACCTGCTGATTACAAAATAGCACCACTTTTCCCTATCCACTCTAGTTTTTGAGGTACAGAAGATATGCTATATATCAGTCACTATCTACTTGCCCACAGAAAACCATGATCAGCATGCCTACAAAACAAGAGTTGATGTAGTCTATCCAATGCAGTTTTCTGAACCAGTACCCCAACAACCCCAGGAACAGGCCTAAAAACCAAAATATTAAGTATTTTTCTTGGTCTAGCTGTGTAATTTTTATATAGCATATAATTGTTTCTCATTGGCCGATTTTCTCCAAGTCTAACCCTAGAAGACCATACTATACCTTTTTGTTGTTTTCAGATGTAGGGCTGAGAATAGTAAGTTCTGGTTTACTTGGCTTAGGCTTGGGAGGTTCACAGGAATTAATAAAATTTATAATAAATGGCTCCAAGTGCTGGCCTTTCTGAAATTAACCAAACAATAGCTGTAAGGCATACAGTTTCAAAATAAAAAATATATACACTGGATAAATCCACAAGTATCTTGTAATAAAAATATACTGATTACAAGCCTAAAGAAGAATTTCTACCCACCTCTTTCATTAGTTTTCCAGGAACAGATTTTATAATTTTGCCTGCAATTGAAAATCAACCGAAAAATAAATAAATCATTAATTGCTTTTTCCACAACAAAATCCATACCTCCATAATGTATGGGCCCTGTGTGTTATCCCTTGCGAACTATAAAGCATGTGTGTAAAAAGACTATTGTTTTGTCTTAAGAATTTAATGCAACAATGTGCATTCATACTAGTAACAAAAATTAATAATAGCAGAAAAGGATAAAAGTTAAAATTAACACTTTAATTTAATTTAGGGGTTTTTTGATCATGTTGTGACTCTGTATGTTTCGATGTTGTTGTTTGAAAACTGTCCTGAGTCCCCCTGGGGAGAGAGCGGTATATAAATAAAGGTTTATTATTATTTTTTATTAATTTATAAGATTTTTGGTCATATCAATGTTTGCCTACTTATTATCATCCAGTAAGTATTTATTTATTTATTTACTTTACTTGTATACCGCAGTTTCTCAGCCCAACAGGCGACTCAACGCGGTTTACAACAAGGATAAGAATCAATCAATGATATACAATTTAAAACCATAAAAGCATAATATACAATATTGACACAACAATAGACAACACAATGCATCTCATAACTAGAGTCGTGATCCAATCCGTCGTCCAAATTTCCATTCCTGTAATCATCACATTCATTGCACTGTTTAACCGAATGCCCGTTCAAACATCCAAGTTTTTAATCTTCTTCGGAACACCATTAGCGAGGGGGCTGATCTTACCTCCATAGGAAGGGCGTTCCACAGCCGGGGGGCCACCACAGAAAAGGCCCTGTCTCTCGTCCCCGCCAGCCGCACCTGTGAAGCAGGCGGGATAGAGAGCAGGGCCTCCCCAGAAGATCTTAGGGTCCTGGCGGGCTGATAGGCAGAGATACGTTCGGATAGGTAACTTGGGCCAGAACCGTTTAGGGCTTTATAGGCCAACGCCAGCACTTTGAATTGAGCCCGGTAGCAAATCGGCAGCCAGTGGAGCTGGTGCAGCAGAGGAGTTGTATGCTCCCTGCGCTCCGCTCCTGTTAGTATCATGGCTGCCGAGCGTTGGACTAGCTGGAGCTTCCGAGTCGTCTTCAAAGGCAACCCCACGTAGAGTAGTCAGTCCAAAATGTGGAACATAAACTGAGTAAAGGTAAAGGTAAAGATTTTCCCCTGATATTAAGTCTAGTCATGTCTGACTCTGGGGGTTATACTAATCTCAATTTCTAAGCCGAAGAGCCAGTGTTGTCTATAGACGTTCCAAGGTAATGTGGCCAGCATGACTGCATGGAGCACTGTTACCTTCCCGCTCACAGTTCCATGTTTTTGAACTGTTAGGTTGGTAGAAGCTGGGGCTAACAGCAGGAGCTCACACCGCTCTCCGGATTTGAACCGGCAACTTTTTGGTCAGCAAGTTCAGCAGCTCACTGCACCACTACAGAATACATTTTAAAATCTAGGTTTGGATTCAGATCTCTTCTGGAAACAAAGAACTGGACTCAAGAAATGGCCTCCCCCAACTGCTGGTGAAGCTTAGGGTGGGGTGAAAGGTGAATTTTGCTGATTCTACACATGCTCTTCACTGAATCCCATGCTATTTTAGTAGGTTTCTTAACCTTTAGAAACTGCAGTGTCAAGGGCTTCAGGGGGAATTGATGGAAATCACTTCCACGCATTCTTTTCTGTGAGTGGAACCCCAACCCATGGGCACAGTTCCAGTTAAAACAACTCTGGGTCGAAATTAGATATTTCTGCACACCTTCAAAATTTTAAAGTTACACAACCTATTTTTTAAGACTTATTTTACAGAGATGCAACAAGGATCATGATTTCTGTATTCTGAGGGAAACATCCTGTTTTCATTTATTCTAAATCACACCAGGAATACAGAGAAAACGATAGCAGATGTGTGTGCATGGCAAAAGACATTGTATCTATTCCATGGAATTCAGAATGTGGGGTGAACACTTAGAAAAACTTGTCAAAAGAGATTCCCACGACAGATTTGTACATACCAAGGTTTACATCAGGCAACATTTTGTCAAGGAATTGTGTTTCACCGCCATTGGGAGACAAGAAGTCAGCCAAAAGCTGGCTGTTGCTTAGCTCTGGATGTTGAGAAAGTTTCTATTGAAGGAGACAAAATGGAAAGAAAATGAGATTATGAGTCCCCTTTGGGGAGCTGGTGGAGGGGTATAAATAAAGATGATGATGATGATGATGATGATGATGATGATTATTATTATTATTATTATTATATCCTGGTGAATGACAGGTGACTGTTTAAGGAGAAAACTCATGTATGACCAATGTATGCTACAAGAGCACAATGAATACCCACTCAACTGGTGTTTCCTCCCTACCTGCAGGTATTCCTGAAACTCTTCTCTCTTTGACTTTAGGAATTCATAGTTCTTTGGTCCAATGATCCTCTTTGAAGGAAGCTGAGCATCAGGGAATGTACCTGATAAAACAGGAAAATATAGTAGATTTGTTAAAATATTTTAACACAAGTATATGTGTGTGTGTGTGTATGACATTTAAAAAATGAAAAGAATAAAAATATCGCTTATTATGAAATCAAGATAATGTAAAACCAATTAAAACTGTTTAAAATAATGTTGACAACAGCTAATATGTAAATTGGATAACTGACTAGGATTTGGTAGCTTTAATAAAAAGCCATACTTTGACTTCATACTGGCATAACACCAGGATTTGGTCCAACTAGGTGCCACAGCAAAGGATGCCCTCTCCACACTGTATTGCTCCCAAATTGTCGTACTAATTTATTTCAAACTCTAGGAGGATGTAAACATACCATGAAATTCTGTTAGCTTTGATTCAAGGACATAAAATTCCAGATATCTTCTGTAGACAGACCAGTGCTCGGGTTTATGCCCAACTGAAAATGCAAGCAGATTTGTTATTCCCCTCTAAGAACACTTAAAATGTCCTATAAATAAGCATAACAAGAGAAAAGGCCTTTAACTAAATTAAACACATGTATTATCAAAAATGACATGCTACAGTCTTACATGGACACATTTAAAATAACATTTCAATGACTGGAATATTCCAGAATAATCTATACACATAATGAAAGTGAAAATATGTATGTATATATGTGGTTGAGGTGCCCACTTCCACAAACAGCTTTAATCCATAATACTGAGGAGCCACCAAAAGCACTCCCTCCAATGATATTTCAGGTTATAGCAAACGCCATGAACATGTAGCCCAAATCCTGCCAATGTCCTCCCCAAACACCATACTGCCCACCACCCAAGGAATGCTTTCATTTGGGGACAGTTTCATCCTAGATTTTATGTGTTTCCTCCACAATAGACATCCCAGTGTTTTCTACTCTCTCCATTGGTGTGGAATTTGCATGACCCCGCCCACTGCCTCCCTTAACCCTTTCCTACTCGTTTCAACTCTGTCTGCATAACAAACAGAGCACAACTGATCAGCAACTAAACATACTGGAGGAGTTTGGGAGACTGACTCCACATGATGGAAGTTGTAGTTCACCATGCATCAAGTCAGAGCAGTGTAACCCTCACTGATAATAGATCTGGACCACATTTGGTACACAGAACCCCATGACGAAAGAGAAATACTGGAGAGGTTTGGGAGGAATTCAACTTGACTTAAAGCCATTGTAGGCAATGGGATTTATAGTTCACCTGCAATCAAAGTGAGCACTCTGGACCCCACCAACGATGGCCTTGGACCTAACTTAGCACAATGAACCCCCTTGACCCACAAAAAATGCAGGAGGGTTTGTGTGGAAATTCACCTTGATTAATAGGAATTATAGTTCATCTACATCCAGAGAGCACTGTGAACACAAACAACAATGGATCGGCACCAAATTTGGCATGCTCAAATTTGCCCAAATTTGAATACTGGTGGAATTGGGGTGGAATTGACCTTGACATTTGTTAGCTGTAGGTGCTAGGATTTCTAGTTCACCTGTCATCAAAGAGCACTCCGAACCCCAACAATAAGAGACCTGAACGTAACTTGGCACACAGAACCCCCATAACCAACTGAACGTACTGGAGGGATTTGATGGGACTGACCCACCACGGCGGGAGTTGCAATTCATCCTGCAGCTGGAGAGCATACTGAACCCCACCAATGCTGCATCTAGAGCAAATCTGCTCAACATGACAAACTTTAAGTATTGATGGAGGTTTGGGGGGTTAACCTGGCATGATGTGAGTTGCAGTACACTCACAACCTTCTTCTAATAACCCGGGGAACGTCTGGTACCAAAGCCAGTATATAATAAATTCCAGGAAACACACTGGCATTTGTTGGTGGGCCATATTTTGAGTTATTTAACACACCCCAGAAGTGTGCACCTCTAACTTAGCATGCATTACAAGTGCATCAGACAGTAAGCTCAGACTATCTACCTGCCATTCTGTCATTCCTCTCCACATCAATGCAAAATACTGGAATTCTCTCCCTTCTCTCTTTCCTTTCATAGGAATCTTCGAAGAAGTCCACATATGGAATGGTAATTTTCCAAGCGGCAAGATTGCGAGGGGTATTTGGTGCGCTAAGTGCTTCCACAGGAGAATCATCTTCCATTACCATAATGCCTTCTTCAATCTACAGGGAATTATGTACCGAAAGAATACTTTGAGCTACTACTAAAGTTGTAATATTTAACATTTAGGCAGAACAAGTATACTCGATTCTTTTTTCCTCCATTTCAGAAACAGTTCTCTTTCTCTTAACGACATACATAAAAAACATCTAAAACCTCCACCTGACACCTGCATGTACATCAAGAAACATATGATACAATGTTCAAAACCTTTGCTAACAACGATAACGAACACATCTTCTGGCTTGGCCTATAGCCGTGGAATGGGATTCATAAATGTGGAAACATGTTTATTTCTTTTGTTCAATTGACTATTTTTATGTTATTTGTAAAAGGTTATATTGCCCCAGAGACCATGTTCAAAACACTACACTGCAATGTCTAACACATATGATTTGGCGCAATTGCCTTATGTGCATTCTCATGAGTAAAACACATTCCAAGTTGCTAATGTGATTGCAAGAACTGGAAAGCAGGAGAGAGAGAAAATAAACAAAACAAGGTTAACAGTCAGTTTGAGCATCTAATTAGAGACAGAAAATGTGGAATATAAATTTAGCAATTCCCTGCATTCCACAGAACACATTGGCTTGAACTGTGAGATCTGCAAAACAAACTCCCCCTTCTGACCATGAAAGGAACTTAATCAAGCAGTGAAGGCTCCTGCTTAGGAAATGTTTGTATTATGTATGTTTCAGAGTGAGTGAGAGAGAGAGAATTTTAACAGATTCCTTCCTTCTTCAAATAATCTCTCAGACTGTTCTAGAGGGTCCCCAAGCCTATCAGAAAAGATTGCAGAGAGAGGATAGCCAGCAAACTCATGACCACATAACTTCTGCTGGAAACATCCTAAGATACTACCCACTAATTAGGTAACTTTGAACTTTCATGAAATACAGAAATTGTTTCTGTGTTTCATAAAAAAAGTATCAACACTGATAAAAATTTTTTTAAAAAGAAATGAAAATCAAGGAAAATTAATTATGTACATAAACAGTACCTAGTGTCTCATTCATTATATGAAGGTACTTTTACCACTACAAGGGGAAACTACAGCACACAAAATTCTTAAGTACTTTTAATGACAGAATAATAACAATAGCAATAAGAATAATAATACATAAATAAATCTTTATATATATCCCGCTTTTCTCCCTCACGGGACACAAAGCAGCTTACAACATATTACGATAATGTAAGCAGCAATCCAAATACATCAATATTAAGTATAAGACTTCATAAAATAAACAGTTTAAAACAACAATAATATACACTCACATTCTTATGTCATCGTGTTATCATACACAGAACTTGTAAGGGAATTGTGGAAGTAGTAGGAAACTATAGTGAGTATTACTAAATATGAATATACTCATTTAAATCATTTTAATGAGAAACAGTTAAATGCATGTAATGGAGTGGAACTGCTGCTTACAGGATGTAACTCGTGTGACCATGTTATGAGAGTGGAAATAGCATTCAGGAAAGAGAAGCAACTATAAAATGGCAAGGTGGCTCAGCATTCAATGGAACAGAGGGGGATAAATAATAAATAATAAGCAGGTCATCAAAATTCTTAGGGCTACTCACAAAGTCATCCTCTCCTTCACCGAGGCCATAGCTGGGCAGCACAGCCCCTTCCATTGTGGTACTCTTGAAGACTCCTTTGATTTTACTACTTATACTTCTGATTCCAGATTCTCCTTTTTTCTGGGAACTCCTGTATGTGAAATAAATAGGAAAATATATACTGAAGAGTAATTCTAAGCAGAAGAGTAAGTCCAAGAACTTCCCAACTCTAAATATATGCTCTAGACGGAAAGGGAAGATCTTCAGGGCAGAGCACTGGGTGGTACAGAGGCATCATGTAGTCAGATTACTGTGCATTGCACCTCATCAGTATGGTCACATTTCGGTATTTTTGGTTTACTATCTCCTTCTGAAGACAGTACAGTGTTAAACAAAAGATGCAATGTATTTCAATTAAGAAATTTAAGGGGTAAATTCTCACAACCAGGTTTGGTATCAGCTAGAAACATATCTGACACCTGGACTATTACAAGCAGTCAAAACATCCAAGTAAGGTATACCCACTTGTTTGATTTGGAATTGCGCGTTGGGGATTCATCTTCTTTTAAGAGATATCTGAAAAACTAAGCCAGAAATGGGGAGGGGAAATTATTAAGAACCAACTATCATTATTCTTTCATCGAATATATTTATTTCCTACAACTGTTCTCGGGGCAACTTACATAAATACAGATGATACACAAACAAACCTTCTAACCAATCCCCATACAAACTAGCCATATTAATTTCTACTACTACAATCAAAAAATGCCTTTTGAACCATAATGTATTAAAACATAGTAAGTGAGAATGACACAAAGATCTAAAAAGCTTCATAGAGGCTGAAACACTTAACGATGCGAAGGGGACAGCATAAATGCACAATGATTTTTTTAAAATGTGAGAATATAAACCTGTTTGCCTGATGCTGAAAGGGATTATCAGGGCAGGCTACCAGTTGACATTTGTGGGGAAAGATTTTCCATAAATGATGACGGAGCTACAATAGGAAGGCTAGATTGTAATATCTTTGTTCATTTGGAGAGGTAACAGAAAGTAATGACATCACTTTGAAAAACAATGAACTTTGAAAAAAAACATCTGGAATGTGAGTTGATGATGTATTACTAATAAGAGTTAAATTGAGTTTTGTGAGTAATGAAATACATAAAAAACATCTAAAATATGCTAATAGTCTTAAAAATAATGTTTTCTAGGTTTGAGTCATTTTCAGTTTCTCTGCACTAAAAAGGGCAAAACACTCCCGAGTTACTTGTGCAGAAAATTTAACAACAAATTTAACTTCAGGCTTACTTCATCAGTGTGGCAGAATCTAGGTATGAAGACAGTCTCTAAGAGGGAAAAAACATGTTCAAAGGCTTCATAGAAGCATCTCATTGTTTGCAGCTTGACAACGTCGACATAGGGTCCTTCAGCAACTACAGGGAGAAAATGTGGAAAATATCAATTGGTATGGTTGCAGTACTGTGGAAAATATCTGCAGCTACAAATATACTCACTTAAAAGAAAAAGAAAATAGTATTGTCAAGAAGAATCCAAATCTAATCACTTTTCTCTCCTACACTTTCTTTATGACCCGTGTCTAGGCAAAGAAGGCTTTTTTACAGTAAGAAAGAAAACATGATAAAAATAGCAAAATGGAAAATTTGAATAGGAGGTGATAGGTGTACTCAGACTTAATAACTGGTAAGTTTCACGAGTCTACGTTCTTATAGGCATGAATCATGAACCTATACCAGGGACAAGAAACGTAAGTGGATCCATGAAGTAACTTTCTGAACCCAGCCATATGAGGAAATGTCTGAGGAGGGATAAAAACATTAACTCCACTTCTGGGTTTGAAAAGCTGGTATGTTCTGATATGAAAACAGTGTGCAGAGATACTGCAAACCCATTTCAGAGGTGAAGTGCTGCTCTTGGAGGTTTCCAGGAGAGGCAATTCATGTGGGGTTTTTCGATGGCAGAAAGGAGAAAAAAGCAAGTCATAGAAAGATGGAAGCCCCAAAATATAATGGGAGTCCATTATACGTCCCAAGGCTAGTGTCCATGTCAGGGAGAATGACAGAACAGCCTTCCTTTCTTCACCGCAGTCCTACACATGGCCTGAAAAGTGGGTTTTCTAGCCTACCAGAGGACTTATGGATATGTAAGTAACTGCAGAGAGATTTTTCACACACACACATGAAATTCTGCTAACATAATTAGATGTGTCAGCATTAAGCACTTTGAATGCTGGTCATTACATGGACGAGACAACCGAGTTGTCATCTGATGGACAATCTATATCCCTGCTTCTCCGGTACCAATTCAATATTTCTGTCAGTTCTACTTACTACTCTGTATCTCTTCCACAATGAAAGGATCAAATTTAATTTTGTCAATGCTCTGATGCAAGCAGTATGTTTTGTAGATTTTCACTACTTCTTCATGAAGAGCCATCATTTCATCATTGGATAATTCTGGCTGTAAAATTCTGTCATTAAATTGCTCTGTTGGAATAAGAAGGAGGGAGAAAGAAGAAACCCATTGTTATTTGAACACTGATAATATTCCATATGTGTATTCATAAAATGTCAAAAGATAAACTATTGGATTCTCATGCAACAAAGTACGTGTTAATCTAACCCATCCTTTAACAAGGGTTGATATAACACTAGGGATCCCTGCATTATATTCTCTTCTTTTAAAATCTAGATCAGCACACAGATGAAGAACATTTCTGAAAATTCTGAAATCATAAGAGGGTTATTTTTTAAATTCCCCCCAAATTTCCATTTTTTTCCAGTAGAAAAATTGAATTCTTCCTCTAGAAAAAAAAATTCCTGAATGTTGCCAGGAGGAACCTAACATGGCCACTTTTACCTCCGTTCCTGACTGCTTTCAATTCCTACTGGCATTGAAAGAACACATCAGGAACCCTAGCATTTCTAGACAGCACTGCTTGAACACCAGTGGGCATTACCCCACAGCACAACTTCCCTGAAGAGCTAGAGGAACTCTCTCGTGAAGTTAACAAGGGATCTTGTAGTGCCTTTAAAAGGGAGAGAAATTTGTAGTATAAGGTTTCATAGACTCCATTTATTTCATTGGATCTTTGAGTATCTCTCATGAGCCCCCGGTGACACAGCGGGTAAAACTGCTGAGCTGCTGAACTTGCGGACCGAAAGGTTGGTGGTTTCAATCCGGGGAGCAGGGTGAGTTCCCGATGTTATCCCCAGCTTCTGCCAATCTGGCAGCTCTATTGATGTACTCATATTTGCAATCTGGCATGCAAATGTGAGTACATCAATAGATACCACTCTGGCGGGAAGCTAATGCACTCCATGCAATCATGGCAGCCACATGACCTTGGAGGCATCTACGGATAATGCCGGCTCTTTGGCTTAGAAATGGAGATGAACACCAACCCCCCGAGTCAGACACGACTGGACTTCACGTCAAGGGGAAATCTTTATCTTTACATGAGAAAAAGCTAAACTCTCCCTTTACAGTGGTAGTCAAATTCAGTAAATACAGAGGCCAATTAACTGCTACTAGGACTGTCTGTGATCCATAAGGACTGCCAAAAATGCAAGAAAGAAGAAAAGGGGCAGGGCAAAAGAAATCCAAAAGTTTATATAAATATATATTTATAATTTAACATAAAACGGGGAAACCTGTTTTGCCCAAAATCAGTACTACAAGGCATAGACAGATATTTGTAATCTGTTGAAAAGGCAAACTGATTAAAAAGGACAGCCCATCAAATGTCTTTTGGGAGGTGGGAAAACCTACAGCAGTGGCTCCCAACCTGTAGATTGTGGACCACCAGTTGTTTGCAAGAACGGAAATATAGTCAACAGTTTCACTACACCGTTGCCTCGAAACCACGCAGTAACAAGAGCAACTGGTCTTGCGAAACACTCTTATAGTGCCGAGGCAACGGGGATGTCAGGAGGGGAGAGTCTGACTACCCACACAAGATTACAACTACCACATCAGCTCTAGATTATTAAATGTGGTTTTCTGTGGGTGAGCAGATGGTGACTACTGGATGGTATATGTTCTGTATCAGAATCTAAAGCTGATGTGGTGTATCCAATGCACTTTTCTGAATCAGCAACCCTAATAACCAAATCAAAAAGTTATTATCCAAAACACTGACCAAACACTGATTCGTAACCCTTTCGGTACTAAGGTTGGAGAGTCGTCCCTGGTCAAAGTGGGCCCTGGTCAAGTGGTCCCTGGTCAAAAAAAGGTTGGAAACCACTGACCCAGAGGCTTCAAAAAGCCTTCACCACCTCTAATTAAATTTTATTCGCCCCTTAAATTCAAAATGTAGTGCAGTTGTAAAGAACTTATCTTACCTACAAATTACTTTAGTAGTCTGGCTAGAGGAAGAGCAAGGACATGGAAGAGGAGCAAGGCACAGAGCAGATGGAGGGTGGGTTACTTGAAGGCTATTTTAAGCCTGTGGGCAGAAGGACTGCTCACCACTATTGAGGCTCACATTCAAACAAATCATTACATGGATTATTTAATTGAAATAAGGCAAAAAAAACATGATTGCTATCTTACGGTACCTTACCTACATCAAGGTAAAACTGCAATACATGCACTGCTCCTTCTTTTTTCAAAAAATTCATGAAGAGAAAGAAAAGATCCTGGTGGCCTCTGATTTCTTTCAATTCCAATTGCAGGGCCTGCCCAAAAGCAAAAACAATGAGATATTTTCCTGGTGGCTGTGAAGGTTTTTATTTTAAAACATAACATTCAAACTTTAAACAATGATTTCATGCTTACTGAGGGCTTCTTATTTCTGGGATCTGCAAACTTCTGTAGAAAGGGAACCAATGCTGATGCAGGCTCTGTTGCGATCTCAGGCTGGGGGGAAAAACAGCACCCATATGAACAAGACTGTATGACAGCATCACCAACACAATATTATTCTTTTGTTGTCAATACTCACAGGACTGTCATCAATGAAGATGAGTAGCAGATGATTCACAGTATCCTAACAGGAGGGGAAAATATATATACATATATTTAGCAAACAGCTGGTGCTTACATGAAACTCAACACTAACACAGCCTGAATGACACTTCTCCTTAGTGGGGTTGTACAAGGTACCAAAACATTTCCAATGGGAGAAGCACAAATTACTCTCCCTTCTGCTCTCTGTGCAAACACTCTTTGAATGAACACACAAACCTATTTTGAGGTGAGATGTGATGAAGATACAGTCAAATACTTGTATGCTGTAGGAAATCTATTTATTCATCTCATCACCCACATTGAGCAACTTGAGTTCAGAATGAAATGTTAAGAATACTTGGCAAATACAAGCCTAAAACTAAATGCCATCTGGTATGACCCAACTCAAGTTCTATTGAATTATTTTGAGTTTTGGAGAGGGCTTTGAAAGAGAAGTGGGGTGGGCACAATCAGAAATCTGGCTTTGCCATCCTTTGATGGGCTGCATTCATTCTCCAGCTATCTGGCATCAGCAGGAAGAACTGCCAGGTGGTAAGGACTGAATTTTCAGGAGTGGAATATGATGCCTCAAAATGCAGTGAAGCCTCCTTCTCTGGAAGTTTTTAAGCAGAGGCTGGAGGTCATCTGCTAGGAGTGTTTTGATTGTGTAGTTTGCATGGCCAAAGGGGGCTGCACTGGATGGCTCTTAGGGGTCTCTTCCAACTCCATGATTCTATAATTCTAGACTTGGCTGGCAGTTTTCTAAAATGTCTTGCTCCTTTCCAAGGGAAGTAAAGGTATTTGTTTATTTACTTACTGAAAATATATTATGGTTTTCTTATTGGATTATGTTTAAGGAAGAGTATGGCAATTTACCAGTAAAACAAGATTAGATAAAATCTGATTTTATCAAAGTTATCAAAGAATTGCAGTATTATTTTAAAAACATGGTTAAAAACAGTTGAACTCGGGTATTTAAATCACAATAATAACAGATAAGGATATATGGTCTTTTAGATAGTTTGGATCGGTCAAAACCAGCACTTTTGAGCTCTGTCAAGAAAAGGATTGGTAGCCAGTGAAGCTATTTCAAGAGGAAGTCACAAGTTCCCTGTAACCTGTCCCAACCAATAATCTGGATGCAGTACTTTGGAATTGTTGACGTTTGTAACTATTTCCAAATGTTCCCAGACAAAGTGCATTGCAATAATCCAAATGAGATGCATCACTGTAGCCAGAGGCAGCATCCCAAGTGTGGAACAGGACATTTGTCTGTTGTTCCTTCCAAGTACCTTTCTTCCTAGGACTCCTGAAAAGAAGCAAGGGATTTCTGAATCATTAACATCTGCACTCCCTGCATGCAGCAAAGAATGTGTGGCTGCTGTCTCTCCAGAAATTCCTTGCTTTCTTTCAGGAAGTTATGAAACAAGTATAGCATTAAAGGTGTCAGCTGTTCTTCCCTTGTTCCAAGGAGGAAGAGATATGTAGCTATGGCTTCTATCATCTCCCGAGCAAGGAGGGGGAAACTCTACCAGCCCAAAATGCTGTTTTTGCATCCAGGACCTTGCTAGACATATAACAGTGAGGGCAACATTTGGCAAGAACCTGTGAATGATTTTAAAAAACCCTCTAACACACAACCAATTCAGAGAAAGGACTGGAGGGGCATGCAACACTAAAGGGAACTGTGGACTGCTAATCTGAGGCCACACTCTCATATGAGGCCTCATCTACATTGCCATTACAATGCAAACTGAACTGCATGATGTGGCCAGTGTAGACTATAATCCAGTTCAATGCAGTTAAGATGCATTATATGAGTCTACACTGACCATATAATGCAGTTCAATCTGCATTATAATGGCACTGTAGATGGGGCCTGAGTCTCAATCAGAGAACACACAATAGAACCATAGAGTTGGAAGAGATCTCGTGGGCCATCCAGTCCACCCCCTGCCAAGAAGCAGGAAAATTGCATGCAAAGCACTACAATTGTTTTGTATTAAACCATTATAGCGATTACCAATGCAACCCCATTAAGAAGCACGATGAAGTATCTGTATATTTATTGGAATAAATTGCATATTACTTTTCTTTGAAGTAATCTTGAGCAACTCACAAGGTAAAATCAATAAAATGAAGATATTATCCACAGGAAAACAGAACAAGAAGTATACTTCTAAAGCCACACCAAAACCACATCTCATGGTAAACAGTAACAGCAGAAATTCTTTGAAAATAGAAAAAATGAGCAAATTCAGCTTCTTAAAACTAACCGGATCAGCTAAGAAATCCATGGAGGGAAGGAGGACAGAACCAGAGAGAATTTCTCTTAGAAGTAAGGTGAATGATCTGAAAATAATAGAAGAATCAGTTTTTATACAATGTACTAGCTGTGCCCTGCCACGCGTTGCTGTGGCCTATAGTAAAACTTATCAAAGTTGAGGTAGATATCTGGACTATTATGAAAGAGAGGCCCCTACCTATTCCTTCCCCCTTTTCCTCCCCCTTTCTCTCCTTTCTTCCTTCTCTACCTCTTTCTCCTTCTTTCACTACTTGGTTTCATCCTTCTCTCTTTCCTTCATTCCCCCCCCCTTTCTTCCTTTGCCTTTCTTCCCTCCCTGTTTGCTTCCTTCTTTCACTTTTTATTTCCTTTTATTTTACCACCATCATAACAATAACAATAATGCAATGCATTGCCTCTGGGACCTGACACCTCTCCCATTCCCCCTAAAAGGGTCTCATAGGAACAAGCATAATAATAATAATAGAAATAACAACCTTTACCCGCCACTTGTTGCTGTGGCCAATCGGCCCGCATGTGTGGTGCTGGCCTGCGGGCCTCCCGCCGGCCGGTCCGGCCGGCCTGCCTGCCGTCCTTGCCCGGCCTTCCGCCTCCCGCTGGCTCTCCGCGTCTGGCTCTATCGCGGGCCGGCCGGCCCCCGGGGCTGGCGGGGCGGCTGGCGACGTGTTTCGGCCGCATCTGCCGTTTCGGGGTCCGCTAACGGCCGGCCGCCCCCGGGGAGGTCGGGACCGCCCTGGCTTGGCTTCCATGGCTGTGGGTGGTGTGAAGCGGGCAGAAGGGGGAACAGGCGAAGAGGCGGGGGGGGGGGGGGGGGGGAGGGGCGAAGGAAAAGAGGGAAAGGGGGGACAGGGGAAGGAGGGGGTTGGGGGGAGGCGGGAGAGAGGGAGAGGGGGAAAGAGAAGCACGGAGCAGCAGAGGGGCGGGGGGGAGGCTGCAAGGGAGGAAGGGGGAGGGAGGGGGGGAGGGAGGCGGGCCTGGAAGGGGGGGGGGAGCAGAGAGGGGGGGGGGGGGCCAAAGGGGGAGGGAAGGGGCGGGGGGGGGAGACCGGGAGGAGAGGAGAGGGGGGGCGAGGGAGGGGGGAGGGAGGGGGCGGGGAGGGCGGAGCGGGGAAGGGGAGAGGGAGAGGGAGGGGGGCGGGGGGGGGAGGGGGGGGGGGGGGGGCGGAGGAAGAAGAAGGAGAGGCAGGGGGGAGGACAGGGAGGCAGGAGGGAGGGGGCATGTCTTACCGGAGGGGGTGGGAGGAGGATTGGCTGAGGGAGGGAAGGGGTGGGGGGGGGGGAGGAAGGGGGCGGGGCTTACCGGAGGGGGGGGGAGGAGGAGTCAGGGAGGGAAGGGGTGGGGGGGAAGGAAGGGGGCGTGGGGGGAGTGGGGGGGGGGGGGGGGGGGGGGGGGGGGGGGGGGCAGGGAGAGAGAGTTTGGTGTGAAGCTGGGAGGAAAGAAGGGGAGGGAGGGCACTGAAAGGGGGGGGGGGGCGGGAGAGGGGGGGGGGAAAGAGGGGGGGGGGGGGCCAGGGGGCGAGGGGGGGGGGTGGGGAGGGGGCTGGGGAGTTCCAAGGTTGGACCGGGGGGGGGGGGGAGGGCAGAGAGAGGGGGGGAGGAGCAGGGGGGGGGGGGAGGGGTGGGCGGGGCCAGGGGGGGCTGTGGGGGTGGGGGCGGGGGCAGGGGGAGGATGGAGGATGGATGGAGGGGGGGGGGTAGGGCCCGGGAGGGGGGGGAAGGGCGGGGGGAGGGGGAGGGGGGGGTGGGCAGGGGGGGCGGGGGGGGGGGAGGGGGGGGGGGGGGGGGGGGGGGGACGGAGGAGGGCGCGGGGCCGGAGAGCGGCGGGCTGGTGTGGGAGAAGGGGGGGGGGGGCGGGGGAGGCCACAAGGGAGAGAGAGAGGGGCAAAGGGCGGGCACGGGCAAGCACGGGGGAGGGTGGGGGGGCGGGCGGGGCATGTTCGCACAGCAGGATCTGCCGGACAGGGTGGCCTGCATCGGTGGCTGAGGCACAAATGCAGGGAAGGTCGCGAAATGCTGCTAGAACACAGCCCACACAGCGGGGGAGGCAGTGCTGCTTCTCTCTCACGGGAGCTTGGCAAAAAGAGAAGGGACCAACCAGAAGTCCCATTGGGGAGACAAGGGGCACGACGGAGGGAGGCGGGAGGACGGGCGGGGGAAAGCAAGCGAAGGAAATTCCTTGCACCAGAGAGGAAACAAAGAAGGAAAAGGAGAAGGAGCAGGGGGGAGGGGAAAGGCGACGGCACGGGCGGAGAAAAAGGCGGGAGGCCATGGGCGATAGACAACCTAGGCGGCTGGGGAACCGAGACGTTTACAATGGGTCTCCAAGCTTTGAGTGGAAGCAGCTACAGTCTGTAACTAGTACAACAGAGATCTTGTTGTTTTACTAGTTTGGGATGTGTGTGGTTTTTTTGAAGAGCAAAATACAACAGTGTGATTAAAAGATATCCTTAAGAAAGCTTAGGAAGAATGATGAACAAACCATTTTGACAACCCTTGATGTATGGACTGGCTCTCCCACCACCTAACTTAATTTGGAATTCTATAGTGTGCCTTTGGAGAGTCGGCTGCCATATAATGTCAAGCAAGAGGGTGGTACTGGGATTCTGTTCTTCTTATACCATCGGCAGCTGACTGGCTATTGTGAGAAGAGAATGCTAGGCCACACAAACCTTTGATATGATCTGGCAGGGCCTCCCTAATGTTTTTATTTTTCACTCTTATGCTGAAATAGAGCCCCTTAATGGCGTAGCTAGTTAAATCGCTGAGCTGCTGAACTTGCTGACCGAAAGGTTGGCAGTTCAAATCCAGGGAGCGGGGTGAACTCCCACTGTCAGGCCCAGCTTCTGCCAACCTAGCAGTTCGAAAACATGCAAATATGGTAGATCAATAGGTTCCGCTTCTGCAGGAAGGTAATGGTGCTCCGTGCAGTCATGCTGGCCACATGACCTTGGAGGTGTCTATGGCTTAGAAATGGAGATGAACACCATCCTCCAGATGGTGTTTACTTTTTTATACTGAAATAAATTGAATTAATGTCAAGGCAGAAGGATACTACGTGCATGTATAGTTCCACATGTGCAAGTTTCCTACTTTACCGTCACATCATTGCAAGTGTAAACAGGTGAGCAATTAAAACTATTTCCAAAATTAAAGTAATATTTGTGGGATTCCGTAAGCTCCAAGCAGTGTTGGATGCACTTTAGGACTGACATATCACTGTCTTCAGAAAAACATTAGGCCAGTGGTTCTCAACCTGTTGGTCCCCAAATGTTTTGGCATTAAACTCCCAGAAATCCTAACAGTTGGTAAACTGGCTGGGATTTCTGGGTAAGTAAGTAAACTTTATTACGGTCAATGACCAGATCATAACAGGGGGACCCAGTCCTGAACATCCACGTCTAACCCAAGGAGTTATATGCTTCAAACTTCAACAAATTTTAAAATCTAGGCTAAAAACCACATACTGGGAGTTGTAGGCCAAAACACCTGGAGATCCACAGGCTGAGAACCACTGCATTAGGCCAATCACTTAATATGCATTTTCTCCAGGCACTGAAGGGTATCACAAACAAAAAAATTCTTTACTGTATCCATTTCCATCCTAATTTTTCATAAACTCTGTCAGTACTGACCTAATCGTATTGTCAGACTGCAGAGGCTTGTTGCAAAATAAGAATGAAGCCTTCATGTAATCCCAATATGACATTCTGTGGTAACAGCACTATATACTTAACTTTATTATGTGTCACATTTATCTTTTACTCTATGTTTGGGATTGACTATACCATACTACAAAAAAGGATGGAATGAAAATATTTCAAATAAGACTGCTCAGTTAACATACCTGCAGGCCGTTGCCTTTGGAGGCAGAATGTAGGGGAACAAAAGCTCAGTAAGTTTCCTTAAGTAATGTAGTTCATCTCTCCTACTTCTCAAAGCCACATGGAGCTCTGGCCCATACTCTTCCAAAGCAGCCTGCTGTAAGTATTCAGCATTTTTCACTGTAGAGAAAATGTAATTCAACACAACTCAACATGTAATTAGTATGGAATAAAGTAACAACGCTAACAGTTAGTCATAACTACAGCAGACTCATTAAAGTAAAGTGACTAACATTAGTACTGACTATTCAGTACAAATTATTCAGCACCTGATTCAAGGAGTCTATATTTGATGGGATGAAAAACAAAATCTATGCTACAGTAGAGTCTCACTTATCCAACCTTCGCTCATTCAATGTTCTGTATTATCCAACGCACTCTGCCTCCTGCCCAGATCCACAGCTGTTTCAATACATTGCAATGTTTTGGTGCTAAATTCGTAAATACAGTAATTACGACATAATGTTACTGTGTATTGAACTGCTTTTGCTGTCAATTTGTTGAAAAACATGATGTTTTGGTGCTTTATTTGTAAAATCATAACATGATTTGACGTTTAATAGGCTTTTCCTTAATTTCCTTATTACCTAACATTTTCACTTGTCCAACATTCTGCCGGCCCATTTAAGTTGGATAAGTGAGACTCTACTGCATTTTCACTAACCAACAAAATAAAAGGAAGCAAACAATAATATACCAAAGATATCTAAAACAAGAGTAGGCACTGAGCAGTTTGCAGAACACATGCAATCTTTCTAGCCGTCTCCCAATCATTTTTTAAAGTTTTGTTTGGGCCATCAAATGGAGAATTACTTCCAGAAACGTCTAGGAGGGCATTATTTAAATGCTCTTCCTTCCCAAACATTGGGCCTGAAAAATACTTCCGCAAAATCATACATGATTGCCTAGTAATTTCTAGTTTTGAAAAAATTGATGCCTTCAACCCTTGAGTCTGGAGTGTTTGAACATTGCACTTTCCATCTTCCCTTTTCACTCTAAAGAAGTAGTACAGAGAATAGTGAATATGGTGGCTTGCTGTGAGCTGATGCTCAACTTTTAGTATACTATTTGTATTTTGGATGCTCTGCTTATTTTTTTAGTAGTTGTCCCTAATACACACAAGGTGCTAGACAGTTCAAGCACTGGAAAATAACAACATCACAATACTGTTCTGAAAATGACTATGAAAACTGACAGGCTCAAATTTTGCAAACACTGATCTGGATTCAAGAGGGTGTTTTGTTGATCATACAGCTTTCTTTGGTGGTGCATTATTGTGGTAATTGAAACAACAGCCTTTTTGACATATGAAGAAATTCTTAAAAAGAAAAGTTATCTCTTCTACAAATGCACCTTTTCATTTCTTGAGTTTATAATATAAAGTAATAAGTTTCTTAAGTTTAGGCAAAGCCTATATGAAAGGATTTTAAAAGTGCACAAAAACACTTCTATTTTGGAGTGAGTCCTTCTGAATTCAAATTTTGCTATAAGTCGCATAACACACACACACATCTGTGTGCAATAAATCATACAGCTTGTTTCATTTTTGGAAGTTATATTGTAATGAAGTCCAATTTGACAGCACAGATTTTAAAATATACATTTTTTAAATGTTTATGCTACCTTTCTGTCTGGCTTTGGCTATTACTTCTATATGCTTCATGGCAACCTTCAGCATTTTCCTTGTTATAACTGTTGGAATATCCACCTTTAAAAAAAACAACAGGAATATAAAGATATATTTTGCAACAAAGTGTATTTTCTTATGCAGAAACATCCTTATTGCAACTAAATAACCTAATTTGAAAACAGCAGGAGTACCAAAGATCCCTGTTTTCTAAACGCATCAAATTATGAATTAGATTAAACACCATTCAATTCAGAAGTAATTTGCTCAAAGTGTTCTGATATGGCGGATGCTTTTACTGGAGCTATAATATCAAGGCAGAACTCTTTAAAAATCATAGCCTCATCTCAAAATTCTGCAGATCATGTCCTTTTCCCCAACACAAACCTCCTAGCATGTTCACGAAACCCACATTTTCAGGCATCTTCAAAACATGCCAACTTCTGATGTCATGCAGCTGTGCCAAAGAAGAATCTACACTCTTTTAAACAGTATTCCTTACTCTTTCTCCATTGACCTCACTTTCAAATCTGTTTTTAATTCAAAGGCTGTAGTTTACCTTGTAAATTCTGCGTACTACCACAGATGCAAAAAATCTTAAAGTTGCTCTTAGTTCATCCACAGAAGATTCATCGTCAGTTATATCCCTGCAAAATTTCAAAACAAAGCATAGTATGAAAACCTCGAACCTGATAGCAACTAGAGCTGACTTATCATTGCAAAATACTGCTTATATTAGTTAATTCTACATAAAAATCTTATTTTCATTAAAAAAAAATAATTAGGGCTGCAAAGATATACAATGTTCCCTCGCTATATCACGGTTCGCTTATTGTGGACTTGCTGTTTTGCGGGTCCTCAATAAGCGGGGGGGGGGGGGGGGGGGGGGGGGGGGGGGGGGGGGGGGGGGGGGGAGGGGGAGCCAGCCACTAGGCCTTACCCTGGGGCTTGTCTCCACCCTCTCAGCAGCTGCCTCATCCTCTTCACCGAATCTGCTGCTCGCTGCCTCAGAGACCCCTTGGGCTCTGTTGACGGCACTGCCAAGCTGGGCTGAAGCCTCAGCCCAGGCCTCAGCCCAGGCTGGCAGTGCCCTCAACTTGCCTAAGAGGCCTCTGAGGTGGCAAGCAGACTCGGCGAAGACAACGAGGCCACTGCTGAGTGGGCAGAGCATCCTTATTTCGCGGATTTTCACTTATGGAAACGAATCCTGGAACGGATCACCAATGATAAGTGAGGGAATACTGTATTAACCAAGTGCAACTTAATGAGGTCTTAATAATAATTTAGAAGTAATTGAAATAATACTCCTTGTTATGTTTGCATACAATCTGATATTCACACATTTATGTTTTGTATTGAAAATACATGGGCAGGGATCATTTTTTTCTTTCTGTGCCAATCTGGCAGATCACAGCAGCACATTTCAGCACACCCAAAGTGTGCTTCCCCTCCCAAACTGTTTTTAAGGAGCCAGATAAGGAAGAATGATAGGGAATCTGAGAAAAGCCACATCCCCACTTCCAGGTAGCACTAACTGATTTCAACAAGTCTGCCTAGTAAGGTTTAGCAACAATGGGAAAGCATGGAACTCCTTCCCAGAAAACCACTAGCTCTGGAGATTATGAATGGGGCTCTGCAAGAGCAAAACCTTGTGTATACAATGCAGAGAACCAAGATTAAGAATGCGATTTTTCTGCTTCTTGGCAGGGGGTTGGATTGGATGGTCCACGAGGTCTCTTCCAACTCTGTGATTCTATGATTCTATGAAATGGTCTCTCAAAATTCTCTTTCAGGTTTGCACTTACTGATCTAGAGATAACTAATAACATTTTTTTAAAAACAAAACACTTTTTGAGGATCCCTGCAACTATCCAAGGCAGAAGATTTTGAAAGAAAGAAACATACACAGCACAGACACCCTAGTCTTATCTCAAAATGTTTATTCTAAATAAAAAAATAAAAGTCAAAGTCTAAAATTCAGAGACTTATACATGTATCATACAAGGTCAACATACTAAATCAGCATAAAACATCCACACCAATTCAAGATTATCACTTAAAGTAAGCCTTCAATTTTTCATGAGTAAACACTACATTCTATGGCTTAAATAATCTTTTTAGTTAACACAAACTTCAACTGTCTCTTAACTTTTGACACCATTAAAAATGTTTTACCACAAAATAGCATTTGTGCTCCCTCTGGTGTCCCACCAAAGCAAAGGTTTAATACACAACACTGGATCCTAGGAACTTCTCGTGTGCACAAGTTAAAAGTGCACTGCACAATCTCCCAAAAGGATCATCTATATTCCATTCAACTGGATCCAAGCTGACTGCACAGTTCCAACTGAACCAACAAGAGCTGTGATAAATGTTTCCACTGTTTTCAAGTGGACCTGAATATAGTGAATTTACTGGGTTGTTGTAGGTTTTTCCGGGCTATATGGCCATGTTCTGGAGGCAATTTTTCTCCTGACGTTTCGCCTGCATCTATGGCAAGCATCCTCAGAGGAAGTGAGGTCTGTGGGAAGTAGGAAAAAAAGTCCTTTGTCTCACCCTGGTCATTCCACAGATATATAAACCCATTTTTCCTACTTCCAACAGACCTCACTACCTCTGAGGATGCTTGCCATAGATGCAGGCGAAATGTCAGGAGAAAAATTGCCTCCAGAACATGGCCTTATAGCCCGGAAAAACCTACAACAACCCAGTGATTCCGGCCATGAAAGCCTTTGACAATATAATGAATTTACTTTACCCATTATCTTGTGCATGTTTTTCAGTCTCATAATGCACCTAATAATTTGTATTTACTTCAACTGACATAACACAAATAGTAAAATGCATTACTGAAACTCAAACCTCATATAACTCTTAGTAGGAAAGAAAATTTAAATGTTAAAAAAAAATCATACGGCATACTCTTGTAGAACAGTAGTTCCCAAATTTTGGTCATCTGTGTGCTTGAGACTTCACTTCTCAAAACTCCTGACCACTGGACGTGCTGTCTGTCTGAATTCTGAATTATTTTTCTAAACACAGCCCAATTAAATCACAACCCTTTCCACAACATGTAAATCAGCACTTGGATTACATTTTTACTGGTGTTTACTCACGTCATCCTTTTCTATACAATGTGTTGCACATCTGTGTAAAAGTGGCGCACACTCACTTATACTATCTGGAGTGAAGCCAAAATTATGTTGGGACTTGTGCCAGGCATTAGCTCAACACAACAGATCATACAATCAATCACAGAAAAGGGGATCATAAATGTAATTCCACGAAAACAAAGCTAAAGGTAACATTTCAAACAAAATCAGACATCACTACAAATGCAATAATTTGGATCACCAAATATAGGTGTATTCTTCCCACTTAATGTGGCACACATGATAAAAAGACTGTTCCAACACTCATACATATGCAAATAACCATTAAGACAGGGTAGGCACATTTTAAAGTTGAGGGGGCTGCTCTGCTCCAACTTCAGCTTCTCTACAGCTCTAAAGCGCATCAACACTAAATGGGTTTGGACACAGTAATTTAATCATGTTTGATTGGAAGGGGGGGCAAGGAAAGGGGCTGGTGCCAGGAGTTTGTGGGGGGGGGGGTCATCTTGAGATCTAAGGGTTGGATTGCCCTGGACTTCTCAAAGGATCTCATCTGATCCATGGATTACACAATTACTATCCCTGTATTAAATTAATTTAAAAAGATATTAACCAAATTTCAATTGCTAGAGCAGACTCAAGAAATCAATTAACAGAAATTGATTCAATGAGTCTACTCTACCTTGTACTAGAAACTGTTCTGGACAAGGGTATTGTATTTTGCTGAAACTTACCTGTACCAAGGATAAACAAAGTTATCCAGCAACAGCTCAAACACCTGCAGTCAATCAGATTAAATAATAGATTACAGTATGTCCAGCAAGACAGCTAACAACCATCATGACTAGCATGCGTCCTCCAAGGTCACTTTTTGAAAACCCACCCAAATTCAGTAGACATGAAAAATATTATTGCCTTCATCAATAACTCTCAGAATAGTGGCCTTCCTTCCCAATCTTCTGCTCTCCAATTTTTGCACATTGGTGTCTTCCATAGTTAAGATAAGAAGAGAGAAGATTCTCTCAACAGAAATCTAGAGTTATCTACACTCCTAGCATTTGGAAGAGAAGAAACATTCTGCTCAATGAACCCAGAGTAATTCAATTAAACACCCATAATAAGGGAGACTAAGCACGGAAATGGCATATTCCCAGAGGAAACACTGTGGAGCATATTACACTGTGCACACTGCACGTCAGTGCTATAGTCACAAGATCAAGCCTAGATATTTTTAAAGGCAACATGGAGCAGTTCTGAGATACGACGTGGATGTATTGTTATGTGCAAGAATGGAGATTAAAAGGGGCTAAATTATGGCAGAGTAAGTATTCTTCATACTAACTGATTTAATATCTACAATTTGTCTAGCAGCAGTGGGAAACAATGGCCTATTGAGCTGATACAATGAGTGTAATAAAAAAGAGAGAGTGAAAACAGCTGTGAGCATGAAAATAACTTCGAGAAAGCATTCCTATCAAGAAATGCATGTGTTTGGATAATTCTTAGAACACAAACTTCAGGTACTCAAAAGCAAAAATTACTCTGAGCATATTTTTTTGAGAAGTAACGCTATGAGATTCCTATTCTGGGGAATGTTAAATAGTTACCTCTGAGAGCGAAGCATCAACTTTAGAGGGAACGTTCAGGTCTCGCCATGGCTGATAATTTTCTAGCAGCAATGCAAGCCTATTAAAAAGCAGAAAGACTGCTAGGTTGTGTTCTAATCACTTTTGCCATGGTACACACAAGCATGATTAAAATGATGAATATGCAACTCACCTATGCCTATTACACTTGATGTTACCACATACATCACAGCTGAACCCTTGGGAATATGGCTCTTGTAGTTCTAATTGCTAAAAGAAACAATAGAAAAGATTGAATGGAAGAAAAGTTTCATTCCACAGAATCCAAATAAAACAGCTTGGAATTAATAATGTAATTGTATGCAATAAAACAACAACAATAATAACAGCAACAATAACAACAACAGTTATTTTCCGCCCTATCTCCCCTGAGAGATTCAGGGTGGATTCCAGCAAACAAAAAGGTAAACATTCAATGCCTCAATAGCAGTAAATACGAATATAATAACCCAAAACAACCCCACATAAAGAGCAACAAAATGATGAAACAAATTTATTGAGCCTATTTAAAGTGTTTTAGACCATTTTAAATTGTTCAGTATTTCTTTGCTGTTTGTTTAGAAACCAGTATGCCTCTTCTAAACTTTTTTCCTATTCATTCCTTCACTCAAAATCATATCTTGCTACTAAATGGAAAGATGTTTACAAATAACTGACCACATGATATTTGTCATTAAATTATTCCAAATCAGAAACGTGAAAGGGGTGAGTGAGAGACACATGCACATAACGATCTGGGCCCCAGCACACTTATAGCTAAGAAGATTAACATGAAATCTGCCTTTAATAACCTAGTTATGCTTGACAGCAGCTTAATAGTCTTTAAATAGAAAGGCCTGTGAGAGAACCCTTTTTTCATCAGACATAAAACAGTAAGACATAAATACACCAGAACTATTTACAGTAGGTAAGGATGCTAGAAATTAACTTGTCTTTGGTGCTTTTCTTCCACTGGGATCCAAAACTTAAAATGAGTCCAAGATCTCCCATCTAGCTCTCATTTACGCAAACCTTTTACAAATGAGATCGTATATGTAGACAGAACAAAGGGCAAGCAATGAATTTATCTGATTGACTGCCTTGCCTCCACATTGGTTGACTGGCAGATAATTGATAGGCTTAATTAAAACCCATCAATTATTTCAAAGGGCATTCAACAGTGACCTAACAGTGTCCATCTAACAGCAAACAAGTCTGACTGACAGAAGAGACTCTATCTTAGGGTCATGCAAGCCTTCAAATCTGGTGAACCCTTAAGAACAGTGTGTGATGAAGGAGAGAAGGAAGAAGAGGCCCCACTACATGACCAGAAATATGCTTGAACAAAATTTTATTTCAGCCAATATTCTTCCTATTTAAAAATTATGGAAACCTTTAATTTCCAACATCAGCAACTAAAATCAGTTTCCACTGATTAACTAGCTGACATTTTACTTCATCTGTCAATAAAAGCTAAATAAATCTTGCCACATGTTGATCATAAACACTGTATATATATTAAACTAATGCCCAATGATGTTTCAAATAACATCAGTAAAGTTACACATTACCTTGGTTTTATGTTTTATTGTAAACAGTATGTTTGGTAACAGAGAATCCGGACCTAAGGAACAATAGAATGTCACAACGCCTGCCACAAATGACCAGAAGATCATTAAAACGTGAAGGTACCTGAAAATAAAGGGAAAAGTTACAACAAAAAGATTAATGCTAGAGATCAACTTTAAAAACGCATGCCCAATAGAACACATATCACGCTGTGTAACATTTGCACAACTTTTAAGAATACCATATATGACATTCAACTTCCATACAATCATATTTACTATAGTAATGACAAAGTATAACTGAAGCAAGTGAGAACTGGCATATGTGACCCCAATATTCCCGCAACAACAAAATCTTATTCAGTGTTGAAGTCCTAACCTATAATGATTTAATACTGAGTCAAAGGAATAACCAAAACAAGAGTAGAAATGCCACATTTTCTGCTTTGAATTGGAATATATGGTAGTGTGGACTCAGATAACCCAGTTCAAAGTAGATATTGTGAGATTTCCTGCCTTGATACTCTGGGTTATATGGCTGTGTGGAAGGGCCCTGAGTGGCAAGAGTGGAATCTACTGTTGTATGAATATGAGAAGAAGTCTGCTGGCACATGACTTACTCTACATGTTGACTTTGTTTCCAAAAGTTACCAAATTCAATTTTTGTTATTTTAAAAAAGGGTTTTAGGTGGCAGCACATTGTTAGCTACGAGCAGAATATTAAGTGCAGATCAAAACTATCAATATATATATATATATATAATCACTTCAGTACAGGGCTTGGGAAATTGCATTTCATAGCAAAAGAATGCATATCCTCAGCATGTTTTTTCCCCCGATTCCTGTAAAAATTTGTTCAGATTGAGTTGGTGCTTTCTGGAAACAAGCTCCATATATACTCAAGTATAAGTCTAGAAATTTCAGTTTAAAAATCAATCCCACAAAATCTAGGCCAACCTATCTATGGGTCAACATTACTACTGTAACTTTACTTATATAAAAATGGAATTATCCCCTTCTCTGAGTACAATGGCAAAAGAGGGGGACCTAGAAGAAGCTCTGAGCCCCATACACTCTCCACTGTGGCACTACTTTTTCTTATTTTTATTGCCTGGGTCCCTGAGGAAATAGCAAAGGCCAGGAATGGCTAGCCCCCTAAGGTGGCATTGGTGTTTTCCCCACACCCTTTCCATCATCCTTTGTTTAGCTGGCAGATTTCTAACAGAATCAGAATTGGAAGCAAGGTGAAGAAGGACTGGAGAAACATAGATGTCTGGTGTCAGGCTGCAGTAGTAACCAATGCAATGAAGCCTAAGATGGGAAAAAGCAGCATTCAATTCCAGCCAATCCTGTGTTAGCTGGACAAAAGTAAATAGCAGCTCCAAATCTCTTACTGAAAATGTATGAAAAGCAATTGGGGTGTGAAGGAGGACAAATATATTTGCCTTACCAACTCCACCCCAGGATGAATGGGTGTATATATGTGTGTGAATTAAAAAAGGATAGATCGGTAAGACTGGCCATAAAAATAGAACTCAGAGGACAAGTGGAGGTTGGTGAAAAAAAACATTTTTCTTTGATGCATTTTGGAAGAAACTTGCCTCTTGAAAGCTGATTTTTAAAAATATTCTACTTACCCAAGACTTAATTTCACATGAAGCTATAATGACTAATGGGAAAAAAGTTTGCTGAAGTATCCTGAACTGCTTTTTTCTTTGTGTTTTGTAGGCAGCTATCTCTATCTTTCCACATTATTTCTGCCTCTGGTGTCAACATTTCTGTCCAGAAACACATCTATTTTTTAAACTAAGGTATAGCTGTTCATGATGCTGAAGTTCATTTAAGCAGAACTAGGATCATAGTGTGCAAGAGGACAGAACTACATGCTTTCTTTGCATCACTTCATGGTCACAGTAAAAATCATTCATGCAAGTGGAAGAATTAATTTAGTCAGGACCATGGTGCAGGAAGGGTTCAACTTTCCTCGCCTTGCCAAAACTGACTACTCAGCTGCTATTTTAATTTGAAAAGTTCTCTTTTTAAAAAAAAAAAAATCCTTGTTCTTAACTGTTTGTTTTATTGTATATTTAATATGATGCACAAACTATTTTTTCTGTTAGAAAATGTATATTTGCAATAACTTCCCCTTCCCTAATCTCTGTCTGCCCATCTAAAACCTGAAAAACATGTTGCCCTTGCATTGTTAACCCTCTTGTATGAACAAAATAATTATTTCCAATTAATAAAATGGAAATTATTAATAGAAGCTAGAGTGAATGTGATTATCTCCAGGAATTCAGCTTAAGAGACAAAAAGTACCGTTGTATTTTAAGCTATGTTCCACAGTAATCCTACTCTAAACAAAGTGGTGCTCTAAGCATTATTTGTTCTCCTTTCAGTGTTGCTGTGGTTTTGAATGTTTTCTAAAAAGGTCTACTGTTATAAAACAACTTACCTTCTACTAGAAACCAAGGCAACAGCCCACCTATTTATTCATTTGTAACTTGCTTTTCTGTCTCTGTACAGATAATAATTAGAGCAACTGATGCACGTTGTGCAATTTCCTTCTCCACCACATCTCTCTTGACACCCCTTTCACACTCTATTGCTATACAGATACATCCTGTCTCACTCAGCTGGCAAATTATAAGGGAGAATGAGTAGGTGGAGGATGTAATTAGTAAGGTAAGAGAGAACTCATTTTAGCAGAAACAAATCTCCATTCATTTTGTGGTTTTTAACCATCTACAAAAGTATAGGCCAAATAAAACTTTTCTGTTGACTTTGTTGCAACAGCAGTGTGTTGCCTTCAAGTCACCTGTCAACATATAGTGGCCTCATGAATTTCATAGGACTTTGCCGCCTCTCCCTGAAATGTTGGCAACAGCACCTGGTACTAACTGGCAGTCTCACATCCAAGTACTAACCAGGGCTGACCCTGCTTAGCTTCCAAGATCAAATGGGATCTATTTGTATTTAGGGTGGTTAGACTGGTATGTCAATACAGGTTTTTCTTTTTGCCTGTTTGAACCCATAAGGTAAAACCAGCAGATTCTGGAAAAAGCTTTCTTGAGGTCCTGACCACTTATCAAATACATCATGGGCTGCTGTCTGCAAAATAAATGGCTAAGCAAATAGGTTAACTATCTAACACTGGATATCTCTGGGGAAGCTTACTTCAGCCTGCCAGAGCCTGACTGGTGACAGTCATCCAGAAGACCATTTCATCAGCTGCTCCAAGACTGTGGAATGACCTGCTAGGAGATCTCCAACAGCTGAATGAACTACCGGAAATTAAAACACAACTTAAAATCCATCTCTTCCAACAGGTCTACCCAGTCAATTTTAAACCATGAATTTTAAATGTTGACTGTGTTGTGCTCCTGCCTTGAGCTGTGAGAGGTAAATAAAAAATAATTTTTATTATTAGTCTATCATCATTTTGGGAAGCCAGTGGAGATTATAAAACTTGCATGTGTCTTGTTTTGCTTGGCCTACAAAGATAGGACACCTTTTGGGGTTTTTGCTTTTTTTGGCAGTATGTAGAGAAGCCTGATGTAGTGGTTTCAAAACTGGGTCCACCCTCTTGTCAGAGGCAAAGTCTGAGAAACAGGTCAGCTTATAAAGATAAGACCATTTCACGGAAGCCCTTTAAAGTGTTGGTCTTGGCCTACAAAGCCTGTACTGGCTGCAGGTCCAACTTATCAGCCTGAACACATCTCCTCCTATGAGCCTACTACAGGGGTCCTCGAACTTTTTAAACAGAGGGCCAGGTCACAGTCCTACAAACTGTTGGAAAAACAAAACAAAACATTTGAAAAACAAAACAAAATATGAATTCCTATGCACAATGCACATATCTTATTTGTAGTGCAAAGAACACTTAAAAACAATAAAATAATTAAAATGAAAAACAATTTTAACAAATATAAACTTATTAGTATTTCAATGGGAGGTGTGAGCCCACTTTTGGCTGAAGAGATAGGATTATTGTTGTTGCTGCTGTTGTTGTGTGCGTTGAAGTCGTTTCAGACTTAGGTTGACCCTGAGTGGGGGCCAGGTACATGACTTTGGAGGGCCGTATCCAGCCCCCGGCCTTAGTTTGAGGACCCCTGGTCTACTAGAACTTTAAGATCACCTGGAAAGGCCCTGCTCTCTGTCCCAACCTCTTTGCAAGCACGATTGGTGGGGATGAGACAGGGCCTTCTCAGTGGTGGCTCCTTGGATGTGGAACTCCCTCTCTAGCAATATCAGGCAGGCTCCATCCCTTCTGGCTTTCAGAAAAAAGCTAAATACTTGACTTTGCACACAAGTGTTCGAAGAATAAGTTACTATGGGTTTTGACACGGTCTGAATTAAGGATTTGAACAAGGTTATTGGCTAAATGGAACTATGCACCTTATATGTTTTTAATGTGTATACTGTCCTATGTGTTTTATTGATTAACTGTAAATCATTTTAACTGTTGGCTATGTTTTATTGTTTATTGTTGGTGTTACCGGCATTGAATTCTTGCCGCACCTTGAGTCCCCTCAGGTGAGAAAGATAGGGTAAAAATGAAGTAAATAAATAAATTTGTGCAACATCTATAATAGCCCTAACAGGTTATATAAAAGCTAATGTAGGGTCTTGTCTCAATGGTCAGGTCGTATCCTCCATGCTGTTAGACTCAAGCGATGGACATCTGGATGGAGAACACGGTTTCCCTGAGATGCGAAGAGATCCGAGTGGCTCAGGAGGTGGACAATCTCCCTCTGAGACATCTCAAGAAGGGGGGGAGAAACATGATTGGTGTGGCCACCACAGGGCGATGAGGATGCAGTTCACATTGTCCAGTAATTTGGGCACCACTCGATTGAGAAACGGGATTGGTGGAAACACATATCACAGTGCTTTTCAACCTGTAGGCCCCCAAATGTTTGGGCCTTCAACTCCCAGAAATCCTAACAGCTAGTAAACTGGCTGGGATTTCTGGGAGTTGTAGGCCAAAACACCCAGGGACCCAAAGGTGGAGAATTACTGTAATATGGGATTACTTTCTGGAATCCAATCAACCTTGAGCAAAAATGTAAGGCACATCCCGGTGAAAAGAGTGAGCCAATGTCTTTTGTTGCTGCAAAACAAAACTATCCATACGTACCTCTGCTTAATAATTGTGTCAATGAGTATATTTACGGCATTCACCCTGAAGGGCGGCTTACAATATATATATATATACACACACACACACACACATATATACATATACACATAAACTATTTTATATTACTAGCATAGTACAATATCAGTATTATATATTACTAAATTTCAACAGGTTTATTTATATTTACTTTTATTGACTTTATTTTTACCCGGACTGACTCCCAATATAGGGATTGTGTGGCAAGAAACACCTGCTGAAATTTCTTCCTGAACACAACCTTCAAAGCAGGCATCCTCATTGGACAAGCTGGCTAGGGCTTCTGGGAGTTGGAGGCCCATCATTTGAGGATGCCTGCCTTAAAGGGACAGGGGCATTCTTTCTCTCTCGTTTTCTGTCGGCTTGGTCCTGCCTCCCTCTCAGGCCCCATTAAGGCTGAGCATGAGGGTGGTCACGCTGAGCGCCAGGAAGGTCCAACAAAAGAGCGGGTGCTGGCGACAGGTCTCGCGCAGCGCCCCCGCCCCGCGCATGCGCTGGGGGAGCCTCGCGCCGGCCGCGCGCACCCAATTCATCCTGGGCCACAGCCCGGTGGTCGCCCCTTCCTCAGACCCTCCGCCAGGCGCCTTCGTCTTCCGGGTGTGCCTCACGTGACACTCCCAGCGCACGTGACCGCCCGGCCTCGCGCAGATGGGAGATTGCTTTTTGCAAGAGACACCCCAAAGCCTGTTCTGATGAATGAATGCAACCTTGACATGGCAATGTAACTGCCATGGCGTTGGAATGCTTGGAGTTGTAGTTTCATAAGGTATTTAGCCAAAGAGTGCGGCAGGTGCCCCATCAATGGACAACTCCCACGGTTCAACAGTATTGAGCCATAGCAGCTAAAGTGGGGCCAAACTGCATTCATTCTGCAGTGCAGATGCATCCTTAGATTTTTTTCCCCCATTTTTAAAATGTTTTTATTATTCTTATAAAACAATTATACATAACCATAATTACCATGCATTTTCTTTTTCATCCCCTCCTCTCTCCCACCCCAACCCTCTTCCCTGTTGACAATGTAATCCTTTTTTCCCCTTAGATTTTGATACGTCCTTAGATTTAGGGTCTGGGTATGCAACACTGGATTAACGCAGCTTGACCCCAATTAAGCTGCCATGGCTTCTCGCTTTGGAATGCTGGGATTTGCAGTTGATTGTTTATTTATTTCGTATCAAAAGCATTGAATAAATTAGCATAAAACTGATAAAAATAGAAGGAACGCAGGCAGCTAAATATCCTTTGACCAAAAACAGGCAACAGCAATGGCACTGTCTGTGGCCTCCAACAACTCTTCCTCGTGTACATGAGGCAGGGCACAGTGGACAAGCATACAGATGCGGAGTTGTTTGTTCTGCTCCACAGTCACACAAGGTGTGAGATTCTTTTAGGTAGTACCATTTTGCCAGGTTGTCTTTTGATCTGCCCACTCCACTTCTGAGTCTGCTCAGGGACTTCCAAGTTGCCCATTCTTGGTTTGCCCCTGGAGGAAGACTGTGAAATCTTGGCTCTGCCTTCTCTTTTGCTTTAGCTTCCCCTGTTTCTCTATAGTGTAATTACCTTGCTCTCTATTAGTTTGTGGGTGGAGTTTAAAACACCCCTCAGAGGCCTGCCTCAGTTGGTTTTTTCCTTTTCCCCAGAGCTCTTGGCTGGCCTTCTCCTTCTTCATATAGTAGAGCAATAGAGGTCTGGATTCTCTCTGGAAGTCTTAGGCCTATCAATCCAACAGGCATTCCTTAGCACGTACACCTTCTGCTAAAGTGCGGCTACTGCTACAGTAATAATAATAATCATCATCATCATCATCATCAAACTTTATTTATACCCCGCCACCATCTCCCCAAGGGGACTCGGGGCGACTTACATGAGGCCAAGCCCAAGAACACATCAGTAAACAACGAAACAGAAAGCAAATAAAACAGTACAATTAATATAACTCGCATATAAGCAATAACACACAAAAATTTAAAAACCTTATGGCCGGGCCAAATGTAATGGATTAAAATTTTAAAATTCATACTGGGCGTGAACAGCGATAGGATGTATCTAAGCAAGAGGGTTTTAAAGGATAATGTAGGGCGACCAACCCAATGCGTAGTTAAAGTGCTTCTGAGGACATTTTGCAGGGAATTGATCAGAGCAGGGCATTGTTTCCTTATTCAGAGAAGGCACAGCGGAACAGCCACGTTTTCAGGCTCCTCCTAAAGACTGACTGCTCATTGGAGGGAAGGATATTAGAGACAAAGTTGAAGTACTTTGGCCACATCATGAGGAGACAGGCAAGCTTAGAGAAGACAATGATGCTGGGGAAAATGGAAGGAAAAAGGAAGAGGGGTCGACCAAGGGCAAGATAGATGGATGACATCCTTGAAGTGACTGGTTTGACTCTGAAGGAGCTGGGGTGGTGATGGCCAACAGGGAGCTCTGGCGTGGGCTGGTCCATGAGGTCATGAAGAGTTGGAAACGACTGAATGAATGAACAACAACAACCTAAAGACTGCCAATGTGGGGGCTTGTCTGATATCCTTGGGGAGTGAGTTCCAGAGTCGGGGGGCCACCACAGAGAAGGCCCTCTCCAGATGATCAAAGAGATCGCGTGGGTTCGTAAACAGAAATGAGGTCACGCAGATACACCTACATTTACCATCAATCCAAAGGACAATTGAAGTTTGGTCAGCCCAAGCTTCTTAAAGGGAGAATATTAAGGAGCCAGAGGCAAATAAACTTTCAACTTTCCCAGAGATGTCTTCATCCAGCAAGTGTTCCCTTTGTAAAGTATGGTTTTAAGTCATCTCAGGATAGTCCTGGGTAGAGTTAACCCTTCCTTTCCCTTGTTCCAGTAAATTTATTTTGTTATCTTTTTACCTCGTCTCAAAGTCTTAATCTTAGATGAAGGTAACAGACAGCCGCCTAGTAAAGCCAGAAAATATAGTTTCCCCATAGGTTTGGGAGTGCCAAAACAAAGACCCTCGTGCAGTTTGGTGAGGCACCTGTGCTCTTTGGCACCTTGTGAAACTACAACCTGAAGGCACATGATACCCAGTAGAACAGACCTGGGGAAATTTTGGCCCTCGAGGCGTTTTGGACTTCAACTCCCAGCATTCCTAACAGCCTCAGGCCCCTTCCTTTTCCCCCTCAGCCGTTTAAGGGCCTGAGGCTGTTAGGAATGCTGGGAGTTGAAGTCCAAAACACCTCGAGGGCCTAAGTTGGCCCAGGCCTGATCTATACAGTAGAATGACTGCAGTTGGCTCCCCTTCCTTCTTTCCTCCCTCGCTTACCTGCTGAGCAGGATGGTGGCCACACTGAGCCCCAGGAGGAGGCAGCAAAAGAGCGGGTACTGGCGGCAGGCCTCGCGCAGCGCCTCCGCCCCGCGCACGCGCCTCAAGAGACGCTCCCCCGCCGCGCGCGCCCGCTCCATCCCGGCGGCAGACCTGAGGAGCCCCTCTCCGGACACTGGGGAAAGAACCCCGGACCGCCTCCTCGGGCTTCCGGTTTGTCTCACGTGACCGCTCCCGGCACCACGTGACCGGCCGCTCGCGTCACATGGGCTCAGAGAGGCTCTTCCCTTTAAAGGGACAGAACTAGCACACGCTGCAAAGGCGAGCTTTCTGATTCTGACGGCTGCCCGGTTAGCTTGTTCAGCTCTGTATCCAACTACCCCTGACTCCCGGCTGTTAAGGATAGAGATGAGGAAAGAGTGCTGCTGCCGCCGCCCGCCCAGATGAAAATGGCGACCGCCTTTTGGAGGAGGTGGCGGCTGCCATTGTCTTCTTGGAAGTGGGTTTGGGCTACAGTGGGACTTCTATGGGCACCGGTTTCTAAGGCTTCATATTATAAACAGCTTTTGTGTAGTTGCAAATTATTGGTCCACGATGGAAACGTGACACAGCCAAGCTTTCAAGGGGACGAGGCTGTTTTTGAGGTCCCCTTCGTCCCGCCAGAGTTTACTTTCTCTTTCTGAACAAGGCTCTTATTAAGTTCATCTTTTAATAAAATAGGCGGCACCCACCCCCAAACGATGCAATCTTTGGGTTGCTGTGAGTTTTCCGGGCGGTATGGCCACGTTCTCCTGACGTTTCGCCCACATCTATGGCAGGCATTCTCAGAGGTTGTTAGGTCTCTTGGAAGCTAGGCAAGTGGGGTTTATATATCTGTGGAATGTCCAGGGTGGAAGAACTCTTGTCTGCTTGAGGCAAGTGTGAATGTTGCAATTGGCCACCTTGATTTGCAGTTAATGGCCTTGCAGCTTAAAATTGAAGCCGCAAGGCTATTAAATACTAATCAAGGTAGCAGTAATGTAGTATGCTGTATGTACATATGACTTGTAAGCCCCTCTGAATTCACTTCGGAGTGAGAAGGGTGGCATATAAATGGCATAAATAAATAAACTGCAACATTCATACTTGCCTCAAGAGGACAAGAGTTCTTTCTCCCACCCTGGACATTCCAGATACATAAACCTCACTTGCCTAGATTCCAACAGATCTCACAACCTTTGAGGTTGCCTGCCACAGATGTGGATGAAATGTCAGGAGAGAATGCTTCTAGAACACAGCCATACAGCTCAGAAAACTCAGTGATTCTGGCCATGAAAGCCTTTGACAACACATATGAGGTTGGCGGCTTTAAAACTGTTAAGTTGTACATGTACAAAATTAAGTGTACATGTACACTTAATTTTATTTGTCTTTACTGTAAACTTGCCAGACTGCTGATCAATAACTTAGGAAGTGGAAGAGGTCCAGGAAACTCCATTGGGCCATAGCAAGCCTGTGTAAGTTAACTTCTTAAACTACATTATTATGGTCCACAAAGAGCCAGCATGGTGTAGTGGTTTGAAGATTGGAGACTGAGAACTGGGGGTTGAATCTCCCTTTATCCATGGAAGCTCATTGGAAGTAACACAGACTCTGACTGAAGATGGCCATGACAAATCTCCGAATGAATCACAGGTTTGCCTCAAGGTGGCCTTAAGTCAGAAACAACATGCAGGCAAACAGGAACAAAGAATAAAACAATCAATAGGACCAGGCTACCCTAAATTGCCCTAACTAGCATCAGGGAGCTAAGAGATCCAACTGTAACAGATCTAGTAGACAGGCTGTACAAGTTAACTTCCAAGTCAAATGTCACTGCTGTAGAACAGGCCAGCATAAGAGAACTGATTTTTAGTACAGCTTCACCTGTTATTGGAAACCTAATATCGCATCATTTTTAACAGAAGGCAGTAGCAACACTAAAGAAATGTATCTACCCATGTAAGCAAAAAAAAAAAAAAAAAAAAAAAAAAAGCTTAAACAGCTTTATATGTATAGGGAGGGGTCTTCTGGGGCTGTCTTTGCATTGCCTCTCAATTCAAGGGTGAAAATCAATTACTCAAACTGATAGTGTCTGACAAATCATTTCGGATGTTAATAGCCTTTTTTAAAAAAAGATACTGTTCCATTATACAGGCGGAGGCCACAGGGGGTGGAGGGTGGATTGAAGGTAAAAAATAATTTCCCCTTGTTTTCCTGTTATTCCCCCCACCCATGCCCCCATTGTGGAAAGGACCCTTGTTTATGATATGGGGGAGGGGAGCATAACCAGCAAAAATGGGGGAAATTCGTTTTCCTCCTTCAACCTCCTCCCAATAAAATGTAATCGCCTCTCTCTAGCGCCCCCTAGAGGCCTCCATCCATATAATAGAACAGTATCAAAAAAAACTTATTCATTAAAATTTAACTTTTAGAGTTCTTTGTTTTCGTGAAAAATAGCTGAAATACAAATGCCAATAGCAACCAAAAGAGGCCCTGAGGGATATGACTAAAGATTACAAGTGGCTGGGTTTGGGCTGTTAAGATAACCTAAGTCAGCATTGGCAGAGTGGAATTGCAACATGAATATTTAGCTGACAATCTCTGCTTCTCTGTCATTCACTTATATAGTTCACTATATTGCACATAATGCGTTTTAGTAATACTCGTTTCTTGTGTCGGTAACACCAACCCATTCAAACTTGCCAAATGTGTTTCCTAATATTGTGCTGATAGAAGTCCTGATCACTTGTGACACTGTACTACTGTAACTATATATTTTTTGAATCAAATAATTGTATTGCTCAAAATTGTATAGGCTGTAAAAAGTGAAATTCCAATGTTGAGTTCTGTGAATGACTTTTTATTCAGTGGTTTCAGCACCTCATTTCCAGTATCTGACCCCTTTAGAAATATTCAGGAGGTGGTGTAGAGCAGCCAGGACAAACAATACAAATGTGGGCTGTTTCCAAAAGGTACCAAATCCAATATATGTGTGTGTGTGTGGCAGCACATTGATGGTTAGCAGTAGAAAATTATGTAAAGATAAACACTATCAAAATGTATCAAATAATCTTGGTACAAGGCTTGGAAAATCACATTTTATAGAAAAAAAATGCATATCCTCAGCACCTCTTTTATGTTCCTGCAAAATTTGTTCAAGTGGATGTGGTACACCTTTTGGAAACAAGCGCCAAAAATGGCCACCTATCCTTTTTCCCCATTTTCCCAATGATTATGAAGCATTGGGACCCCTTCCACTCACATACTGTTATTTTGGATCCAACCCCATCTTTCTGAAATTTTATATCAGCTTTTAAAACCTTTGTGCACAACTATATAATCTACATTGCTTACTTACCTGCAAATTCATTGACTGCATGCCACTCATTCAGAACAGAACAATTATGTCAACATTTCCAGCATACTCGTGTCTTACTTATTTTTGTAAAATGTCTTTATATATAAATAAAACAGTTCATTTACTATTAAGTTAAAATCTAAAGGACACATCAGAGAATTCTGAATTTCCTTGTGATACAGCTCTTGCCTTGATTTTTCATCCCAACTGCTGAATACCTACAGAAATACAATTGCACTGAAGAAATGGTCAGATTTCTTTCCCACCTACAGCATTCAACAAGTCATGATCTAGCTATTCATGTTGGTGTACCTTCAAGCAAATATTTTACTCTCCAAATAAGTTAATGTAGAAGATCTCTATTGGGTGAACTCCATAACTGCAAGTTAACCATTCTTCATGCAACTGCAAAAGAGGCTATATAGTCAAGGTACTATGAACTCACTATTACCTTATTTTAAGGGGCTCATTTCTGGTATGGTAAATTCTCATGTCAGTTTGTCTGAAGTATCCTCTCCAATCTATTTCACACAATGTAATGGAAGAAAAAACAAAACCAGCAACTTTCAAAATATTCAGGTAGATTTTACAAAAAGCCCAGTATACGGAATTTTGAAATCTCTTATTGTAGTTGATCCATTTCACTAACATGCTGTAGAAACTGTAAAGTCAGAAAAACAGTTTCAACTCTTGGCTCTCAAAAAGCTACCTGGAATAAACTTATCACTTCCCTTCAATTCCGGAATGGATAAAGCCAACACATACCTGTGTGCCACCAGAAATTATTTTGCAATACAATACTAAAATTCTGTCTTGCACTTGCAATAAATGTATAATATTCACTATACATCTGTTCCAATTAATGTCATTCACATTAGATGGTATGTATAACACTTGACACTCAACATGACCAACCCAACCATGCTGTGTGACTTTCACTATCTAACAAATAAAATCTCATTTCATTTACAGATCCAAATTTTAAAACGTTCAGTTAGCATTATCTCATAAAAGATCAATTTTTCACAAGACAAATTTCCACATGCATTTTACTGTAGATTTAGCTTTATAATGCTAAAAAACTGCACCAATGTCAGAACAGTGCAAATAATGTTTAATTGTAAAAGTCATAATGGCTTGAATTCATAATTATTTAAGAACACTGTCAAGATTCAGGTATTTATTACTCGCCATTGCTTATAAACTATATAGCTCACTCCCAGTACATTTCTGACATGCATCCTCCCACCCCACCTATTTTCATAGCTGAAGTTGATGGATCTTTTACCTCAATTCCAGCTTGTGTCATCGGATTTTTATTTTGCATTACATCAACAGAATGCAGTTCCAAAAAAGACTCATCTATCATTTTATCTCCTTCCCAAATCTCAAATTAGTGATGCTTGAAAGCATACAAGTTTATTTGTCCAGCAATGGGCGAGATTTGGAAGATTTAAGTCAGAAAGCTTCTTCTTCCTAGGCCTCCATGAGTTGTCACGTCAAATTTGGCATGAACATCTTGACAATGTTCTTCATAAGACTATGACAGTAAAGATGCCAGTTGGCACAACAGCCTTATTGAAGGGAGCATTCAACCCTCCCTGGTACTGGCGTCTACCAGCACCAAGGATTACAATGAAATCATAGTAGTATTTAAGGCTACATTTAGCAAACCTTCGTTCCATAAGCCTCATCCTATCAAGTTTAAGATTTCAGAAGCTGATGCAACACTCACGTTTCTTATTCAAATATGGAAAGAAGAACTTTACCATGGGCAGTATATGAGACTGTGGCAACAGGCGTCTCATCAAACGATAACATTTTAACCATCCCACCACTTAGTTTCTCTCT